TGAGCACATATTAAAACTATATAAATCATCATTTATGACACCATAACAATCATGCCACCATTAAATAAATTATAAAGTGGTGTCATTATGTCATTTTAAAACCATATCTAACTATATAAACCAAAAATTTCCATATGTCATGGTTATATTCACCATGAAAGCCACCCCCCCTGCTCAAAGGGATAATATCCTCTCTCTTTCCTATTCTGGCCTCTCTGCTTGTCAAATTTCCTCTAGAACTGGAGTATCCAAGTCCACTGTGGCCAAGTTCATCAAAGAAAGTCACACAGACAAGGAAAACTTCTGTGAAGGGCATCCATCCAAGCTCACCTCTACTGATAGGAGGGCTATTATTCAACATATCACTACAGGAAAGGCTGATAATGCTGTCCAGGTCACTTATTACATCAATTCCACCATCACATTCCCTGTCTCTTCACACACTGTGAGAAACATTCTCAAGACAGCTCATCTCAGGTCAGTAACAAGGAAGAAAAGGCTTTCCTCTCCATCACACATAAACAGAGATGACTTACCTTTGCCTTAGCCCATCAGAATTGGATTACATGGACTGGAAGCATGTTATGTGATCATATAAGACCACAATAAATAGGATTGGGTCAGATAGCAAGGTATATATGTGAAAAAAGAAGGGTGCTAGTCCTCTCTGCATATGTGTGATAGAGAGGAAAGCCTTTTCTTCCTTGTTACTGACCTGAGATGAGCTGTCTTGAGAATGTTTCTCACAGTGTGTGAAGAGACAGGGAATGTGATGGTGGAATTGATGTAATAAGTGACCTGGACAGCATTATCAGCCTTTCCTGTAGTGATATGTTGAATAATAGCCCTCCTATCAGTAGAGGTGAGCTTGGATGGATGCCCTTCACAGAAGTTTTCCTTGTCTGTGTGACTTTCTTTGATGAACTTGGCCACAGTGGACTTGGATACTCCAGTTCTAGAGGAAATTTGACAAGCAGAGAGGCCAGAATAGGAAAGAGAGAGGATATTATCCCTTTGAGCAGGGGGGGTGGCTTTCATGGTGAATATAACCATGACATATGGAAATTTTTGGTTTATATAGTTAGATATGGTTTTAAAATGACATAATGACACCACTTTATAATTTATTTAATGGTGGCATGATTGTTATGGTGTCATAAATGATGATTTATATAGTTTTAATATGTGCTCAAAAAACTGTCTGCATGAGTCACCATTTTGTGAGCCTTGTATCTCCACCATATCTCCACCGATTCCCACGGTGTAGGGCTCAAATGAAAGCCCTGAAGCAGCACCACAATATGGTATCAGCATGTCACTGAGGCCTTTATGTATTCTCACACAATATTGTAAATAGTAAAAAATGCAAAAACATGTGGACAGTTTTTTAAGCCACTGTATTATAGACAGCTGGGCTGAAGACAGATGTATGGCAGATATTATTATATAGATGGGTGGGCCGATGTGGCGGTGAAATATGTATTATATATATGGGTGGGCCAAGGTGGGGGTACATTACAGACAGGTGGGCCAATGGGATGGTGAAATATTTATTATATATATGGGTGGGCTGATGGGGTGGTGAAATATGTATTATATATATGGTGGAGGTTCAACAGCTCTGCTAGGCTGCAGAGCAGAAGAAAGAAAGAAGGCTCTCACTCTGGTGAGAGAGGAAGGCCTACTGACTATCTAAATTGTTGGTCAAAATGCACCAGGTGATATGTTTGACCCTTAAGGGAAGCAAGGAAAGCAAGATCCACGAAGTGACACCAGGTCAACTCTGGTGAAGCACACTGGGAGCATGCACACAGGAATGTCGAGCATGTAGGAGCATGAAGTGTGGGAATAATGCACAAGCTGTGCACGAACATATAAGAAACTGGTAGAAGTCATGATGTTAAGAACCATGCTCAAAGGAGAGAGAGACTGACTCAGAGGGGCTTGGCCTCAGCTCGTACACTGTGCCCCTTACCCGAGTATGTGCCCTTCATTTCAGAGGAAGTCCAATGATGGTCTGATGAAGTCTGGAGGACTTCTGGAGGCTGGCTACTCTGGTGGAGAGTGTGGGAGGACTTCCGGAGGAGCGCAGGAAACGTCCAGAGGAGTGCAGGAGAGTTCCAGAGGGATGCAGGAAATGCTCAGGAGAGTTCCCACTGCAAGGTAATACTTCTACAGGAAAACAGGATGGACGGATAGGAGGTCCGGAGTACGGAGGACAGGAGGTCCAGAGGTATGGAGGGCGGAACGTCCAAAGGACAGGATACCAGGATGTCCAGAGGTACAGAGGACAGGAGGTCCGGAGGTCCAGAAGGAATAGGGGCTACATCGGACTTCGTCTGATGTAGAAGCAAATGGAGGTAGACTACCCTAAGGTAGAGTTGGAGGGACAGGAAGTGGACCTAAGTCCGGAAAGAGGGTAAGTGCTGGAAAGGCAAGACTCTAGCCTAGGGAAGCAATCCCTAGACTTGGGACAGAGACATAGGGGACAAATCTGGAGGTCCAGAATTCCGGCCTAGGGAATCCTTCCCTAGGCCTTACAGAAAAGGACAAGACTCAGACGGACTGAAGTCCAGAAGATGATTGGGCAGATCTAAGGTGATGAACAGGAACTAAGATGATATTCAGACTGAGGACTCTACTGTAGTTGTACAGGGGTTATATACTAAAGGCTACCTGAGAGGATCAGTAAGCAAAGGAGTAAGGCTATGTACGAGCATGCAGAAACACATTGGTAAGTAAGACGGAACATAAGTAAATGAACTCGGAGATGAAACTAGTACAAGGATCAATCAGCAAGATGGAAACAGAGATAACCGAGAACCAGAAAGGCGGAGATGCCTAAATGGGGATAGGCGCAGGATCTCGGATGAAGGGTGGGAATGGTCCGGAGATAGTACAGTTAATATCCAGAGGTCCGGAGATCTGGGGATCCAGAAGGCAGGGCAGAAACAGGACTGAGATATGTGAGGTGGTGGATGTAGTCCGGAATCCGAGGAGGTAAAGTCCGGATGTCTTGCTGGACGGAATGTGCATAGGGTGGACAGGATAGGGGATCCAGGAATGAGTCAGATATGGGGTCCAGAAACAGGTCCGGAAAGCGTGGGAATATGATGGGATCTATGTCTGGCATATGGGATATGACACATGAGGTCATGAACTGAGGCTGCTGAGTGGACTGGTGATGATAATAGACTTGCTGCTGGGGACTAGGACTAAGACTGATGCATACTGACTGAAGATGATAGATTCTGACTCTAGACACTAACTACTGGATGCTAAGTGACATGATGGTGGTAGCTGTCTGAAAACTTTTTCCTAGTGCGCTCTCAGGGCTTGGAAGCGAATAGGGAGTGCTGTATGTATGTAAGTGATGTAAGAAAGGGTCCATGATGAAATGATGTATCATACAATGCTAAATATGGTCTGATAATGAGAATAAATGAAAAGGGACGCACCAGGGGACTGGTTGGACAATGGATGGATGCTCTGGGATGCTGCATGACAAAGTGCGACCAAGCATGGGAAGAGCACACTAAGCACATGCGCAGGAATGCATCGCATAGTGCAGGAAAGTGTCGCACCTCTGGCACATTTTGCAGGAAAGTCATAGCTAGTGAGTTGCACACTGTACCAATCATGGTGAGTTGTAATATGGGCGATCTAAGCCTAGAGCAATCTCATTCTCTACAATGGGTGGGCTGATGGGGTGGTGAAATATGTATTATATAGACAGGTGGGCTGATGTAGGGTATATTACATAGATGGGTGGGCCAACATAGGGGGATATCATATAGCAACATGGGACAGTTTCTCCCAAGGTCCAGCAGATGATTGAGAAACTGTCAATGAGGTCAAAGAACACAACAAGGGATAAGAGAAAGAGATACTAACACTGATCCAAGCCACTCATCGACAGATTTTGATATTAGAATGTCACACTGATTGTGAGTTGGAAGGAATGGAACAAGTCAGAAAAGCACTAGTTGGGTTCAACATTATAGTTAGAAATCATAACAATCCTCACTATCTCAGAGGGATAATGTACACCTACAAGATGAATTGGATGATTGAAGTTCAAGCTGTAAATTCTATCTTTTGGGTCCAGAGGACATTGTGAAATGTTTTGAGTTGTTAAATGCTTGTAATAGAATGGACAATTGGCTACAGTATTCAAAGCTTGCTGGATAGTGGTTAGATGCAGTCAAGTTGAAAGGACATGCAGGTGCTCATCTGGCTGCACTGGCACAACAAGGTTGCTGTGTGGCCTAGTGCCCACAGGAGTTATTTGTGTAAGTAATCAAAAATCTTGAACACAGCTGTTAAATGCTAGTTGATTGCTTTAAGGATATCAATAACCTCTCAAGAATCATGTGGCCTTCATGAAGCACATTCACACAGGAAAGGAGTTGACTTAATTGAGGAATCAAACAGGGTACACTGGCTGTGTTTGTTTTGAGGAATGATAACACACACCCTCCACTGCTGCTCAATGGCACTAGTAGTACTGTTGTGAGTGGAAGCAATGATGGGAAAGTGAGGTTGTGGGATGTCAAGACAGAGGTCATTGCCAAATTTTAGACAAGACACATTGATTAACAATTATGCATTTATGTGTCATCACTAGCACTATGCTGGACTCCAATAGTGAGTGAATTCTGAGTGGACACAAATACAGGATGTCAAGAGTGTAGAAACCTGGATTTTGATGAGAATGGAGGATGCAAAGACAGCCAAGTTGCTTGGTTGGAAGACAAGCTTATCTCCACAGCATCCAACTGCTCAATTAGGATATTCAACACTGCCACATGGAGGCAAGGACACAGACTTTTGTCAACCACCATCACTTTGTTTTGGAATGACCACCTCCTTGTGAGTGGATCGCAGGATAACACAGTGTGCTTGTATGGTCCATCAATTCCATCCATTTAGCATTTTTATGACATCCTATGTGTGACAGAACTTTAATAATTCTTCCTTATCTTCTGTTTATGAGCACACTAGATAGGGTCAACATCTTTGAACCATGGATCACTGAGCAGTTCAGCAGCACTAGCCCTGTTGGCAGGATCCAGATGCAAGCACCTCCACATCAGTGTAGCCATGGGTACCACTTCTTCCTTCCCTATGACATGGTAACATCTAATGGCCCTCTCAATTGGAAAAACTGGGATTGGTACCTCTGCTATAAGGTTACCTGGATGCATGAAATTAAAACTGGCACCAAGAAGTAAGGTAATGCTCACAGTCTGCTTTAAAGAACTGGGCAGATCGTTGACCAGCATTAAGTTGCTCTGGGCTGAAGTCTTCCTCTGTGTAAATCATCATCTGACATAGCTGAGAAGTTGTTGGATCAAGGTTAAGTTCTGGTAGTGGCTCTAACTTGAAAAAATGGCAATGGGTGACAACCTCAAAGATCTGAGGATGGTTCATTTTGTAGGATGTAGCAGCAGATCTGAAGAAAAGTACTGACCAGACATCCAAATGTCCATATATCTACCTTTTCATTCCATGGTGATCATATGATAACTTCAGGTGAACAAAGATCAGGTACAGTGATCTCATCAGTGATGTGGTTGGCAATAGGCTGGGCTGTGGAACTTCAGCTCAGACAAATGAGGTGTTAGTGCATTGATAGACTTGCTACTGCCAAAGTCTGCAAGTATGAATGTCCTCTGCATGGCCTCCTCTAGAGTAGGTACTGGAAGTGGCTGTGACACTGCAGCTTGCATCATACCATCATGAGACTCTTCTGGAGGGTGTCAACAAGATGGATTGGACTTGAGTAACTTGTCCAAGTCAGCAGTAGACATGCAAGCATTGAAGAAGATGTTGGAGAGGTGTAGATCAGTGTGGACTATGCCACAGCTGTGTGCATGGGCAATTCCATGGAGGATGTGTAGAAGAATGTGTTTAGCAAGGGGAAGAGGGAAGATTGGGCCACAAGTTTCATCCAATTTGCTTACATCTCCACCTAGGACCTGGGTAACAAAGCAGAGATGTTCCCCTGCACTGCCTTTTCCAGGGATTACAAAGTCAGATAGGAGTTGAAGACAGTGTGGGTTTGGCAGGGATGAAACCTGCTTGAGAATCATCCACTCTGGAAGGTGGTTTTGTTGAAACAGATTGGTTAGTCTGCCAATAAGTATCTTGATAGCAACATATGAATTGTTTCTAGAAGGTACCAGCATTCAGAATTGTCAAAAAGAACTGACTTTTGACATACACTGTGTCATGGGCAAGCCAAACACTTGAAGTTGTGCCCCACCCTAGTTTTCTGCAAATGATGTAGCGGTTGTTGGGGCCAATTGCTTCATTAAACTCAAGCTGTGGCCAGCCAAAACCATCCTGAGCCGGCAACCCAAGTGGCTCCTCAGTAAATGTCTGAGAGCCTACACGAAATTTCATTTTTCCATCAGCATCAATGGTCTGGGAGACATCTGGTCAAACATGATTGGGCTTGTGGAGAAAACCTTGTCCTAGGCCGGGGAACACGAATCAAGTTCACAAGTCGATTAAAGCGAGGGAGAGAAAGGCACATATTGTTGTGAGAGTAAGCAATCAATCAGTGATAGTTACGCAAGAAAGGGGCGGAGTCTGTGCGTCCATGGATTTGTGACGATATGACATCAACGTGACTAGGATTTGAATCCGACAAACCTTGCCAGTCTATTATATTATGTAGTGAGGCGCGACTAGACTTTAGTCTTCGTGTAGGCGGCATGCATATGAACTCTTCTCTTCATACCGTGCTTGCATGTTTTTTTGTCTTAGCAAAGATTCTTTGCGTTTTGCACAAAATCAGAGTTTTGCCGTCTAGATTTGTATCTACCTCAATTTGTACTCAGACATATATCTGTACGTATCTACCTTATTCTTGTCGATTTTCACTGGGCAATAGGCATGAACTCGCACCGTCAACTCGTCCAGTACAGTGACCTAGAACAATCCCAAACCAATGGCGCCAGCAGCTCAGCAGCAGCTTCTCATTCTCGTCAATCGCCTCCATCCAAAAAACGCAAGAGGTCAAACCAAAAAGCCAAACGCCCCAGAAAAACTGCTCACTGGGATGAACCAGGAGACAATCAGATGAACTACGACGACGCCAGTGCCCATGATGAGGATGGTGAAATTGAAGAGGAGGAAAGTCGGGAGCTCACACACGAAGAAATATGGGACGACTCTGCGCTCATCGACGCTTGGAACTCTGCCACAGCAGAATATGAGGTACGTCCAGCAAGTGCTCTTACATCTGTCGCTATTGACACTCTTGCCAGGTGTTCCACGGGAAAACGCAAGACTGGAAGTCGACCACTGTCAAGAAATCCTCCCTGTGCGTAACCTTATTCATGAAAAATGTAATCTAATTGTGTTCAGATGGTATAACATCCCCTATAATAGTTCGAAGGAGAAGGCCAAGACAACTAATTCAACAAAAGTAGCGTCTGCAGAGGCCGCCAGTCAGGCTGCCGTAGCTGAAGAGGAGGACTCTGCCCCGCTTGATTTCAACACATTCGTCCCATCGTATGATCCATCGCTGCCAGTACCATCTGAGGCTCCAACGGCACCCGAGCCCTCGTTTTTCATACCTGCACCTTCAACCACTATGGTAAGCCGCGACGAAGCTTTCAGCCGTGCGCTAAGTGCGATGTATTGGGGTGGATACTGGACCGCAGTATACCATGTAAGTCCTTTGCGAGCTTGTTGCTGGGTGCTACTTATTCATTGGCCTGCTTGCAGTGCCAAAATCAGCATGCCTCTCAGGAAGCTGTCGAGGAGCAAGATCATCAGGAATACGAAGAAGATGAAGAAGAAGCTCTTGAGGATGATGCTGAAGATTTGGTACCTACTCAGCGGTAATTGTCAAAAGTCATTGGAAAGGTGCGGACCCCTGGCGAGCTATGAAACTAAAGGTGAGGATCCGAAGTTACGGGATCATTCACTGCTCATCCGTGTGCTACCCGAGGCTGTGGCATATTAATGAGATCAATGAGCAATTTAACAACATCATCGGAATGAGTGCGTGCGATAGCGTGTTCGAAAGATGATGAGATAAAAAAGTGCAGTACTTTAGGAATATATGAGAAAATGCACCTGAAAGGCCTCGACGTGGTCGCATCGTCATTACATGAATGATCTTCAGCCCATCGACACCCAGGCTAAAGTTGAGCGTGCGATGAGATGCGCAGGCATGAGCAGTCTAGTGTGCGCGCGGTCCGTTCCTCCAGGTTTCATGACAATATGATAAACAAAGATCAACGACACACAGAACTACTACTCTAACCTAATTTACCATATTTACAAAGCAATTTCGACATCCAATCTCGCCAGATACGAGTACACATCAGGAGACATCCTATACTTAAGGATACCAGCAAATACCATCAGCGATCTCGATTTTTTCCTGAGTGCTGTCAATGTCTGCAACGAAAACATAGTGAGGACACGAAGCATGATGTAGCTATCGAGTACAAACCATTTGCCTCGTAGTTTCTGCAGTAGCAGAATTTTTGATGGATTGGTGAACCGCCGCTAATGCTTCCATAGTCAGTGGCAAATAGACTTGTAGATTGCGTTGCAGGGCATCATGCAAGTCCTTGAACTCCTCGGCCTTCCGCGTAATCTTTGCAACATCCCCATCGAGAGGAATGAGATCCGTGGACTCCATAATCTACAATAATCGTCAGCATTTGGTCGGATCAGGGGATTGGGATGAAATCGTACCTCAAGCACAACATCAAACCGTCCAGAGCTCTTCGCATTGAGCGCTTCCCTGATGCGCAACAATCTTACGGCAGCATCTCGGTCCTTGCCCACGGCCCGGTTCGTGCGCTCATAATGTCTCAAAATCTCAACGGCCGTGCGTTCGATGATTTTGCCTTTCTCTGTTTCACCTGCTGGCTGCGCCAGGGTGTTGCCGAGCGCCTGGGCGAGACATGAAATAACAGTGCCGTAATCCCCAGCGAGGTTGTAGAGCTTGATCGCCTCAGGAATGCGGTCGTTTTCCTCGGAGTCACGGGCGGCGCGGATGAGGATCTGTTCGTTATACTGGGCGGTGTTTTGTAGATGGAGTAGGGTAGCGCCCTGTTCGATGACGCCACTCTGCAGGAGGGGTGAGCCATGTTTAGTAATAAGCGAATTGCAAATTGGAACATACGAATCGCGTGCCGTCGGGTCTGAATCCACCAACGAGCTCTTCCCAGGCGGGACCTGAGTGAGCGAGAACGATGATACGCCTCACGAGCTCCCAAGCGGTCTCTACGTTCTCTCTGCCGACGCCATCGCCTTGGTCTGCCGAGAGACAGACGCAGTAGACGTACTGCAGTGCTTCTTTCGCGTCCATCTTAACAAACTGGCGTACGTATCGCCAAATAAGCATTGGCAGGCTAAGTGCAGGTGGTGAGAGTGGAGACAAGGTCACTGAAAGTCTAGGTTGGTTACATGTAGGTGCAACTTTTGAGTGCATACGTACAAGGACTGATGTCAGATGTTTCAGCACGAGACGGGACGCGTAGAAGCCCGTGGTATGCAAGCGCGATAGCAAGGTGAACGGCTTCGATTTCTGTTTCTGGATGCTCCCATAGTGCAGCCACAGACTAAGATATGATTAGGATAGAACTCGAATGTGCATAATATTATGCTTACACGCTCAAATTGGCCACACATGAGCAGAACACCAGGCCACACACCCTTCTTTGCACCGTCGAAGTGGCGTTCTCCATAACTCAGGAGAACTTCTGTGAGCCCACGAAGGCCACCCTCTTCCTCTTCATCGACCTTCTGCGTGTCAGCTCACATTCTTTAAGAGCCACAAGAAATCCGCACCATTGCAAGCTGGAACCACAACCAATCCTCGGTTGTCATTGTCACTTGTGGTACTGTTCGCCGCGAAGGCTCCAGTTTACCCATGAGTTTATACAATGCAAGCTTGAATGGGTCTGCAGATGCAGAATGCAGCATGTGGGCATTGTATACTGTTTGCAAGTGATCACGATGGGGTTTGGGTAACCTGGAGAGGTGCTTGGTATATAAAAGACGTTGTTTCTCATGGAAAATTCTTACCGTCTTTCTGGCGACTCGACCCACGAGCGGAAGTGGCTTATGAAACTGTCTTCGCGATGTTCAACGGCTTGCTGCGACTTCAAGGCTTCATCAAGGGCCTCTTGTGCGTGACCGGTGCGTACAAGGTAGTACAACTTAGCCCACAAAGGTTGACCAGCAACAAGCTGTGTGACTCGACTGTCAGATAGAATGAAAGCTCAGTATGAATTGTACTGACCTCTATCCGATCTTCCCACTGCCCGTTTTTGTAATATCTCATCAGGAGGAAGGCGCGAATTTTGTTTGCTACACTAGGGTCTCCTCCAAGGCGGGCTTCCATAGGTCTTGACTGGATCGTGCGTTCAATGATATCCCAAAATTGATCCTCGAGTGCTTCTCGCGAGCCTTTGGCAATCTGTGTCCGCAGAGCTGCAGCCTCCCGGGAGTCGCTATCCCCCAGGTACACCCGCGCGTATTTGCGCTCGAAAAGCGGAGCGTTCAAGATGTGAGCGCCTGCGTGCTCCACAGGAGGTAGAGCAGGAGGTTCGCCAGTAATCTTCGCAAGCACGTGGAAGTTTTGAAACATTTGTTGTGAGGAAGGCTGAATGCATAAAAGTGAGACATTTGGCATTCGACACAGTGAGAAATACGTGCCTCTGAGTTCAAGCTAGCAGCGGCTTGCATGAGGAGATGGATGACGGGACAAGATGTTCCGCGTAACCTTGCAGCGTTCAGTTCGCTGATTGCACGGTCATATGCCATCATCTTGCTCTGCATCTGGAGAGTCAAACTGGGTCCTGTGCTTGCCTGTTTCACATTGTTAATAGGTGAACACCACATATTCGGAGTTTGACTGACCGCCAGCGCTGCCTTTCCATGGAAGCTCTTTTTCATTTCAGCAAGAGCTTTGCTATCATTGGTAGCACGACCTCCCAGCTCTTCAAACACGCGTCTCTTTTTGGCCTCCCAGTCTTTGTGACTGCGCTCCTCAAGCAGACGATAAAAATGCTCCTGAGTTTCCCTCCGACCTTCTTCTATTGTTGAGATAAGATTCTGTTCATGAGCGTGACGAAGATAGCCTGCGACATCTGTGTCTTGGAGGGGCTGGAGGGGAGAGAAAGTTGTCGAGGTATTCAAGTGTGCGATGGAATTGGCAAGGGCAGGGGCATCAACATGAGCCTGTGCCAAAAGGTAATTTCTGCCATGGACGTTAGAACAATATTGCTCAATATGTATATTTGCTTACGCTCGGTCGGCATCGCTAGATGCTCCAGGTTGTCGTGACACGAGCCGACGTGACTGTGCCTCTATCTGGTCTAGTGAAAGGTTGACGGAAGGAAGATCAGGCCGTGAAAGATGCGAATTCAGAGCTCTTGACGAGTTCAGTAATGAAGAAAGGTCGGAGGCCATCGTTGGTGTTATCAAGCTCGGTGCGTACTAGATCAAGAAAAATTTTGGTTAAGCGTCAGGTCTCCAACCTAAGTTTCCAACGTATGAAAGATGAAAGTATGTTCAACGCTTGCTAAGTCGCCGGAGATGATGTTCGGGAACAAAAGTATGAAAACATGTCACGGGACCATCCAGGCACTGCTTCCGCAGTCGCGCATTAGACTGGCAATTCAAGTTGAACACGTTGATTCAACATCACTTATTCAGTTCACAAATACTCATAGCGCGTCTCTGACTTTATTCTTGCTCTTTCGCAGTGACCATGGCGAGAAGGAACCAGAGACGAACGATAACTACACGTCCAGGCAAATTCGACCCAGAGGATGCTCGCCGTGTCAAGCACACCCGCATCGGCGTATGGGACCTCTACGAGGATCGCCAGACTGATATTCCACGCATACCAGGCTCATCAAGATTGGAGACATATGCCCAGATAGTCCAGAGCATGCCCCACGTACTGCGCATGTTAAAGGATATACTCAGCATCAGACAGTGCTGGCTACTACTCTCTGTATTCTTGGTAGTGGAAGTCTTAGCCTCCCTCACACCCGCCATCTCCTTATGGTACGCCCAGAAGCTTTATGTGACCTTAAAACATTCAAATCGCCTTTGCACAGGTACTCTGGACAACTGCTGCGCCTTGTAATGCCCTCTTTGTTTCCATCTGCACTGCCCACTTATTTCTCACCCAGGTAGAGACCGCAATAGAGTCGCGGACTGTGGACACAACAGTACTCATTCATGTTGCAGTAGGACGCGTTGCGTGTACAGTCGCGACGCGTCTTCTCCAATACGCCCGAAGCCGCATCGTCATTCCCATAAACATGTCCATCAAACAATTCTATGCTGGGCACATATTCCACTCAATGGCACGCCTTGACGTGCCCACATTTGAAGACTCTGCCGTTCAAAGGCAGCTCGAGTCTGCGTGGGCGTCCCCTTGGGGCACTAGCATAGCTTGGCAAACCATCCAGAGTTCAACAAACGTCGTAATGACGGTTATTCGTCTGCTCTCTCAGATTTCGGTTCTATTTACAGTCTTGCGCGAGCAGCAAGATGGTCCCCTGCTTGCAGTCCTCAGCTTCTCGCAATCTATATTTCAATGGTACAGCACAAGCAAAGGAGTGTTTGGCTCCTTGGGTAGGTCAACAGCCCGTGCTGTGAGCATTTCACTGAGCCAAACATGTAGTTTGGGCCGCTACCACGACTAATGGAGATTATGTTCGTATGCAAGGCCTTAAGCACTTGGTCGATAACCCTTCACACCGAAAGGAGGTTGTCGCAGGTAACCTCAGCGAATATGTCACCGCACGTATGTCAATGCATCTTGTCGAACGACCTCATTGTGACACGTCATGAGACCAGAATTTCGTGAATCCGCCAAGCGCGTCGGTGACGATGCGGGCGAGTTCCCAGAGTTGCGTCGAGCCCATACTATCAAGGATCGTTTGAGTATAGCGTCCATCCTCCGCGAACCGATGCGTGAACTACCCCAGGTACTCAATACCGACTTGGAAGTTGAGGAAGCTGACTAAATCAACCAGATCGTCTTCACCTTGCGCGCAGTGCAAAAACCAATGACCATCCCTCTCTCGTTGGCATCACTCACACTCATCAATCAGACATCTAACTCGTTCAGCGGCACGCTTTTCTCACTGTTCGGAGAGTCATTCTCTCTTGCGGAGCAGTTTGCCAACGTACGCAAGCTATATGAGATCGAGAACGTGCAGAATAAGGTAGTGGATGGCGCAGAACCGTTTCCCGAGAACCAGCAGGCTCTCAAGAGTGGTATTTCTGTTGAGTTCAGGTTGATCAGCATTCATTACTTTCTTCAACCGTTTCTGATGTATGTATGCTAGGAATGTTTCGTTCCAATACCCTGGTGCAGAGGGTTATGCTCTCCAGAATGTTTCGTTCACAATCGGAGCTGGTCAACTTTGTGTAAGTACCACATCTTTTGTGATGCTCTTCCTCACCGTGTTTGTAGGTTATCGTCGGGGTGAACGGCTCTGGAAAAAGCACAATCTTAAAACTCATCTGCCGCATCTATGACCCGACGGAGGGCACTATCTTTATTGATAACCGTGACATCAAGACCCTCAGACTAGCGGACCTCCGCGCTGCCATGTCCATTCTCTTCCAAGACTACACACACTTTCCCCTCTCGGTGAGCCTCGCCCTCGCACATCCCAGAAGCAAAGTACCTGACGTACATGCAGATAAGCGAGAATATTGGACTTGGAAACCCCGCCCTTGCACACGACTACGACAAGGTCCGCGAAGCCGCCCGTTTGGGCGGCGCAGAACACTTTATAGATAAGCTCCCTGACGGATTCGATACTTACCTCGACCGCCCAGTTAAGGACTACTATGCGGGCCTCCCTGAAGGCACTACGACGCTCTTTGGTAGATCAGTCGACTACTCCCGCGTGCGAGGTGTTGGAGGTCTCCGTGCTTCTGAGGCTTCAAGCCTCAGTGGTGGACAGATGCAACGACTTGCAGTGTATGTCTTTCTTTTGAGCAAAATTGGGGTGCCAGTGTTGACTATTCGAATAGTTCTCGCACGTTTATGCGCTCATTGGTCTCCGAGACAGAGTCTTCCGCGGGCATGCTGTTATTCGACGAGCCGAGCGCCTCTTTGGACCCTACGGCTGAACACGGTGCGCTGCAGTACATACCCAATTTGGGATGACTAACACCTCTCTCGAAATAGATCTTTTCGAGCGTCTAAGGAATTTAAGGGGCAACAAGACCATGATATTCTCATCACATCGGTTCGGGAACCTCACCCGACATGCAGATCTCATTTTGTGACCTTTAGTCTGCCTCCACCTTGACGATGGCGCTAACGTAGACCTTACAGAATCATGGACGAATCTGTTGTCCAGGAAGAAGGCACGCACGACGATTTATTGAAGAGAGGGGGAGAGTACGCTCGTATCTGGAATTTACAAGCGAGAGCTTTCATTTAACGAACCAGAGACGAACCGCACGTTATCCAATACCACGATTATTAATCGCAGAACCACTCATGCGTGCGTCCATACATGGAATTGTCCAGACTCAAACCCATGGCAGTGCGTGTCAATGAATCTTGGCCTATTGCGCCACGCAGTCATTCACGCAGGCCAAATGTGTACAAGGATATTTCACATAATATTCCTGAAACTGTTGATGCATTCCTTTTACTAAGCGCCTGTCTGGCTTGGCTGCGGTCATACTTTGCAATTCCACTGCTGAACAATTGCTAGCCGGTGCCACGCAGACAATGATGCTCTTCGGCTGCATTCGATATCTTACACATGCAGACTAAGATGACGGTTGAACGAGGCGATAGTCCAGTGATGTATGTCATTTTCACGACTAGGAATCCCAGATGCGGTTTGCATGGTACGGTGGAGTGACACCTCGACTCGAATGCTATCAGATTTAACATCGAGCACTGCATTCGAAAAGCTGTAGCGGTCACAGTGCCTTTCCGGCTGTGAGGCAGTACAAAGACGCCAATGTACGCACCTCTGCAGCTTAGAGTCTACAATAAGGCCATTTCGAACACCATCAACCTCCGCGAGACATGGCGGTATCATGACACTGCACATTTATCAAATAATTTGATCATCACAGCCGACCGAGCGCTTGGAGACGCTATAAATACAGTTCTGATCTTCCCGATAGACGATAAGAGGCTTGAAGGGACATAGCCTCATGGCTGTGCATCTAATGATGCAGTTTAGCGCTGCGAAGCAGGATAAAAATGCCGAGTATAATCTGTAGCTCAAGATACCCACAGTGATTATCGCCCGTGCTTAACACCATCGAGCTCACTATAATGGCAGAAGAAGCAGAGCACCCCATCGTTTCAAAGACCGAACCTACTCAAACGTTTGAAGATCATGAAAATACCGATACCGTACTCGCACTCTCAGTCTTTCCCGACGGACGACATATGGTGACGGGCTCGGCGGACAGGATGCTTCGTCTGTGGGACTTGAAGGGTCGCACTGTGTTGAAGAAGATAGAGGGGCATCGCGGCCGGGTGCGGGCAGTGGCCGTGGCCATGGCATCACAAGACAGACAATTGATAGCCAGCGCTGACAACGGAGAGGTCATTTTCTGGGACAGAGACACTGGCGAATCTCTCGTCCCTGCCATCAAGGCCCACTCCACATACATCCGCTCACTGGACTTCTCGCCAGATGGCACGATGTTGGCGACTGGTTCGATGGACCATACGGTGAAGTTGTGGAACACGGAAACGTGGCAGCAACAAGGAAATCCAATCAACTGTAATGCGGAAGTCTACAGCGTTCGGTATTCGCCATCGGGAGAACTACTTGCCATTGCGACAAACTCTGATATCCAAGTTTGGAATCCACTGGGAACAAGAGATTGCATAGCGCACTTCAAGGATCACATGCACAAACTCTATGTAGGGATCACCTTGCCACTCGCCTGGATGCCCGATGGCACACGGCTTCTTTCAGGCGGGTGTGGATTGGATCCAACTATAAGGGAATGGGATATATTCACTAGGCAGCAGGTCGGTGATCCATGGAAGGGCCACAATCACGACATCAACGCTATTGCCGTGAACTCTGATGGTACTCTGGTTGCCTCCGCGTCTACAGACCAACATGTTCGCCTCTGGCAACTCTGGGATCGAAAAACCATCGCCATATTCCAACACTCTAGCTTGGTGCGCTGTATCGCTTTCTCCGTGGATGGCAAGCGTATCCTCAGCGGAAGTGACGACAAGAAGATCTCGGAGTGGACAGTACCCGAGCACACTGCATGTGATGTGAAGGCATGTGCCTATTCTTGATTTATATGACTTGTTGCGACCTTCTTCATGCAGATGCTCACTTTAAACACAACGGCACGCAATGCATGCATAACTGGAGACTTGTCTAGAGCTGAAGAGCTGCTAACACGAGAGATCGACGCTGTTGCCAACAACTACAACTCCTATGCTAATCGCTCATTTGTTATGGCACGAAAGCATAACTGGGACCGCGCGCTTCATGATGCTTCCAAGGTTAGATGGACTGACCTATGACGGCTCTTTACCGCAAGCTGATTTTGATCGTGACATAGTCCGTCGATATCCAACCCTCGTTCACGGGCTACATCTCCAAGGGCATCGCCCTCTGCGGGAGAAAACAGGTCCGGGACGCGATCAAAGCATTTGACCTCGTGTCCATGTTCACGAACGGAGATAAGGCCAATCATTTCCTTCTCTTGATCAAGGCATGTTAAATAGTTCTTACATACTCCATGCTTCATGGTTGTTTATTGTTTTTAGGCTGCCGCACTTTTCAATGCAGATCAACACGAGGAGGCAATGATGCGCATCCAAGAGCTGGCCAAAGCTTGTCCGAGTGCCGATACTCGTGCGTGTTGGATCGTGGAGGTAATTGTATTGTCTACTTATTCAAGCCCAAGCCTGTGCACTGACTCGGGTTTTCTAAACTTCGCACACCAGGCATATCTACATGTTCAACTTGGGAACCATGCCTTAGATGATGCGCGTCACAATGAAGCTGCTAACCACTTCACTGCCGCTGTCAGCACCAGCGGTTCTTCATCTAAATTAGCCATTCATTCCAAATATGAGGACTTTGTTGTGGTGCGTTGATGAGACGACCAAAAATGCTTTTCACGACCAACTACATACTCTTTTGCAGCTCTTCGGGTGGGACCTCAAATCGTTGTGGGAAACTGCAAACAAGAAACTGTGCGTTGCACTCCTTCAGGCAAATAAACTTGGAGAAGCCCTCGAAGCACACCGACACATGATGGACAAGTGTGACGAAAGTACAAAGGCCAGCTGCATTGATTGGTCTACTGGCAAGTTTTTGTAACATCAATCACGCCACAATCCTCACCTGTACTACAGATTTCAAACAACAATGCAGTGCGCTCTATCATGCTGAAGGAGACGCCGCGCGCAGTGCTAGTGATTATGACCAAGCTATTACCCTATACTCGGCGGCGATCGACCTGGACCCCGCAAGCGACACCATCTTTATAAAACGCAGCAAGGCAAAGTTGGATATGAAGTTGTGGGGGGATGCGCTTCTCGATGCACAAAAAGTGCGAGAAGCATTTGTTGTTTCGTGGACAGTGCTTATTTTTGTGACACAGGTCATCGAACTCAACCCATCGTCTCATATTGGATACGAGTTGAAGCATGCAGCACTTCATGGTGCACAACGCTATGATGCATCCATTGAGGCCTTCCAAACCATGCTTCTTCAGTTGGAAAATGCCCCCGACACGCAAACACGACGTAAGCCCCGAATAAATACATGTATTGAGATGACTTACTTCTTTGTACAGAAATGCGCCAGCAGTATCGCAGTCCAGCTGAAGCAGAACGTGATATCCGAGAGGTCATTCACACTCAACTTACCGACACTCCACACCGTCTGCTTAACACTATCACTGGGCTCTTGTGTGATCGAGAAGCGCAGATAAGCGTCTTCAAAGCGAGCACAGAGTACAAAGAGCTTGTTTCATCAACAATAAAGCATACGCACCTCCAAATGGAGCGCATCGTAGAAGTGGTGGCGACATACTTCCGCTGTGTCATGCTCTCACACCGGTGGGAAGAGAAGGAACCGCTGCTACCAGACATACAGGATAAAGTCGTGTACGAGTTGGAGGCAGTTGGCGGCATTGTAAAATTGCAGTCGTTCTGCAGAATTGCTCGCGAGGCGCATTGTCGCTGGGCATGGATGGATACATGCTGCATCGACAAGAATAACAACACTGAGCTCCAAGAATCGCTCAACTCCATGTTTGTCTGGTACCGCCACTCAGCGCTTACGATTGTCTACCTGTCGGATGTTCCTCCTTCGTCCAAGGCTGGTGCATTGGCAAGGAGTGCTTGGAATGGACGAGGGTGGACGGTTCAAGAATTCCTGGCTCCCAAAGTCATTCTCTTTTATCAGAGCAATTGGACTTTATATCTCGACGATCACTCTCCCAACCACAAGGAGTCCACTGTGATCATGCAGGAGTTGGAGGATGCCACGGGAATAGATGCAGGGACCCTCGTTGCCTTCCGTCCAGGAATGATAGGCGCCCGAGAGAAACTGCAATGGGCGTCAATACGTGTCACCACCTTGGCAGAAGATATTGCTTATTCATTGTTCGGCATCTTCGACATCCACTTACCAGCGATCTATGGCGAGAAGATGCAAAATGCCCTCGGGCGGCTTTTGCAGGAGATCGTGGCTCAGTCGGGCGACATCACTGCTTTAGACTGGGTCGGAAAATCATCAGAGTTCAACAGTTGTCTACCGGCCAGCATTACGTCGTATGAAGCTGCGGCATGCAAGCTGTTACCTCCGCCCGAAGATGAAATTCAGGCATTAATCTCCACACTGCGAAACGACGTGACTGCGGAATCGGCTTCGGAACTTTATACCCTGCTCTCCAATCTGAGCGCTCCTAGTTTCGCGCATCGTCGACTACACCTCCCTTGCATTGTATTCCGTGTCACGGAAATTAGGCGGAGCCAGGCTCGAGACGAACAGTCATATTTCACATATGAAGTCAAGGCAGATGGGTTGCGTGATCTCTCAATCAAAACGGGGGAGAGACTTGTTAGCTTTTCGCCGGCACGACCCTTCCAGAAGACAGTCTGGCTTGTCCGTCCGTGGAACCATAATCTCCTGGATCTGCCTGCAGATGATACGCAAATCATTGAAGATGATACACAGGGCGTCAAAGATGTGTTCGTTCCCCAGTCCACTTCACAGAACGAAAAGAGGCTGATTGATACGGACTCTTATTCACGAGCATTGCGATTGATTGTTCGCCTTGGGCAGCAATTCAGTGCATTTTTGCTCATGCAGCAGCGCGGCGGAGAATATAAGAGAATCGCATCGGATCAAGATATTATTGCACAAGTCGAAGACATGGCTTCTATTCATAGCACGATGGACGTTAGGCGATTAGAGGTAGTGTAGCGGTCGTATCGTAGCATTCCGAAGAACAAAAAGCTGCAGGCTTTCACCTACACAGGCCTTGACGAGTGACGTTACAGTGCCTGTGCAACATGCACATCGCTGGACTCTGCTTAGGTTGTCACCACACCACGCCATCAAGTATCCACCTACCCATTAATGCAAAAACCCCGCTTGGTTTCGAGCTTTGCTTAATGCTTTCATTAACTTGGAAGAGTTTCTTAACAAGAACCTGCAGCGTTCCCACTATCGACCACAATATTTGTTCCATTACCTGGCAGTAACGACAACGATGAACCAGTGCACGCGCATCCGCAAAACCCTGAGTGGCTATGGAACAATTACGAACAAATGAGTATTGTGAAGGTTTGGACAGGAGTTACCTTGCGGAGCAAGGTCTATGAATGCGGCGTGACCTGTGGTGGTAAACATCACAAAATATACACGTGATCATCGCGAACCGTCTGACACCAGACACACCAAAATGAATTAGACTGCGTTATTGCTGATTCTGCACAGAATTACATTATGGCGAATGAGATAATGGTACAAAGTATCTTCAAGAACGATCCTCCCGAACAATAATTACACTACTTTTTTAATATCCATCCGGCAAACTCATTTCATCACTGGCCCTCACACATATGCCATGCTATGAACGGCCCGAGGTTCGATAACAGCGCGAACAATTAACCTCGAGGTTGTTTCAACCACGCTGATGCAAAAGCACACAGCATATGCGAGGATGGTATGTGCTCCAATATCCAGAGCATACGAGAGCGCGAATGCGTCCAAATTGATTTATACCTGAAACCTGTCCAAGATATGAAAAAATGCATAGTGACAAAGACTACTCGCCTGAATATGAACCACGACTCCAATTGATCGTCTGACCTGCGATTCTACAAATGTAGCTGCTTGCCGTCATTTCTGTATGAAAGTCAACAGCCTGGCGCATTCCGCAATTAGATACGAGCAAATGACTAACTCAGATTATGTCATCACAACAGGTGTCATGGACTTCATTCACAGCGGACAATACGACGAACGAACGACATAACCATTATCAAAAATGCGGCAAAAGAGAACACAGAAAGTCCGTAAGTTAATTGTCAGACAAACAGCCCAAGCACCAATTTCTTAACTGACCACTCGAGGAATTTTGAGAGCAGCATCTCTCAACCGTTCTGCTAACAGAAGTGTATCTGCATACACCACTGTAGTATCTAAGTCGCGTGCCATTTTCTGAGCGATTCCTCAGTAATAAATTAGGGTAAAAGACGCCAACATATAACTAACTGACGTACGATTAAACTCTGCTGGATCTGCACATAACACTTGATCTGCAAGGATGGTAAGAGAGTATAAATCATTCGAGACCCGCTAGACTCAAAGGCTTCTTGGACAGCGGCCGCAGTCTGAATGAAGATATGAGGAGTGCCGCGAGATTGGTGTTCGACTGATGAGACACTCATCAACGATAAATAATGCACATCACGAATTAAACATACTAAATATAAAAGCACATTCGGCGTTGGAAGTCTTCAGCAATTCGAACACGCTAAGCTGCATCGTAGACCCCTTCGACACCCTTTGGAAGATCTTCGTATAGAAGACGAAAGAATGCGAGAACTGGTAGAAGACACCGAGAGACGTTTTAATGAAGGTGAATATGGACCCATATGAAAGTTTACAGCCTTTTGTATCATGCTCAGAATGTTGTGCGTCTGAACGGCGAGTAATCAAAGATATTTGGCCCTGTTGATATTGTGGGCAAGTCAAATTAAGCGAAAGAGCTCCGCAAGGTAAAAAGTCGGCAACGCCGACCCCTAGTGAGAAAGTTCAAGTCAAATAAATATTGGACACCTAGGTGCCTGTGCGGCTGTAAGGCGCCGTAACATGCTGTAAGCGCCTGTAAGAACATACAGCACTATGCTAAATTTAGGGTTTTGCTGATGGGCCACTCCTTGTTCAACGCCACACGCAGTTCGCATTGCTTTTGTATGTACGTCGGGCCACCCGCCTGAGTCAAACTGTCGCATGTGCATTTCCGGGCCTATCCCATAGAATCCCTCTAATCAGCAAAAAAAATAGACCCTCTTGGCAAATCCGCAGGCGGTACGCCTGAGACACTAAAATATCAATGGGCCTGTTGGTGCACCGCTTGGCTCACCCAATGTGGGTCATGCAGGTCGAATTCCCACTGCCTCATCGATTCCTGTCATCTGATGTCCATCTTCTTATCCTTTTGACTTTGCTGCAGTGTATAGTCACTTCGGGATTTGCCTAACGCCCACCTCCAAGTCTTGGCCCATGCAAATAGAACACATTCTCGACTTCCCTTTCGCCCCCCTCCACCATCGAGAAAAAGAAAAGAATGACAACGCCTGCAAGAAAAATTGACCCCAAAGATGCTCGTCATGTCAGGCACACCCGCATGGGAATATGGGACCTCTACGAGGATCGCAAGACTGATATGTCCCCCATAGCGTGGACATATGCCCAGATAGTCCAAAGTGTACCGTATGTATCGCGCACGATGAAGGACATACTCAGCATCAGACGAGCTTGGATGCCGCTTTCCGCATTTCTATTAATAGAAGTCTTAGCTTCCCTCATACCTGCCGTTTCCCTATGGTATATCATGACTGAGCTTATTAGCAACTCCCTAGCTGAACATCTTTGCGCAGGTACACCGGTCAACTGTTCAGCCTTGTAATGTCCTCTTTACTTATATATTCAAACACACTTATCTCGCATTTAGGTAGAGACAGGAATGGAGACGCGTACTGCAGGCTCGACAGTGCTCGTTCATATTGCAACAGGGCGTCTTGCGTGCACAATTGCAACGAGCTTTCTCCAACACGCTCGGCGCTGCATAATACCCCCCCTGTACAAATCCATCAAAGCATTCCACAGGGAGCGCATATTCAACTCCTTAATTTACCTTGACTTGCCCACCTATGAAGAGTCGGTTATCGCGGAGAACTTCAGGTGCACATCTTACACTTGGGTCTCTGGCGTAGCTTTTGAGACCGTTGAGATGTTGATGAGTATCGCAACGACAGTCCTTCGTCTGCTCTCTCAATGTTTGGTTCTGATAATAGTCCTGCGGGAGCAACAGGATGTTCTCCTTTTTGCGGTTCTCAGTTTTTTGCAATCTATGTTTTACTGGTATGGCACACCAAAAACAGTGGCCAGATCCTTGGGTAAGTCAACTGCTGATATCGCGAGCATTTGCCTGAGCTACGAATAGTTTGGGCTGCGGCCACGGTCAACGAAGATTATGTTCGCATGCTAGGTCTGTATCGCCTCATCGAGAACAATTTTCACCGGAAGGAACTTGTCGCAGGCAACCTTAGCGAATATGTCGCTGCACGTACGTCGAAGCATTTTACAGGGTAGTCTGAGTTTGACAATCTTGAGACCAGGATTTCACGAATCCGCCGAGCGCATAGGCGATGATGCGGTTGATTTTTCAGAGTTGGAACATACCTGGTCTGTCAAAGATAGTCTGAGCATAGCATCCATCCTCCGAGAAATGATGCACGCACTGCCCCCGGTGTGCTGAATAAACCAACCTAGGAGTCAATGAAGCTGATCAAATCTACCAGATTTTCTTCACCTTGCGCATCGTGCAAAAGCAAATGACTATCCCTCTTTACTTGGTATCACTCATGTTGATCTATCAAATTTCGTTTGGTTTGCCGCTCCCCTTCTCTACGCCTACCCTTCTCGCAGCGAAACTTGCCGATATACGCTCTATATATGCGATAGATGATGTGAAGAACAAGGTGGTAGATGGCCTAGAACCGTTCCCGGAGGACCGGCAGTCTCTCAGGAGTGGCATTTCCATCGAGTTCAGGTTGGTTTTTCATTTTATTTATCCAGGTATTTCTGAAGCATGTAAGTCAGGAATGTATCGTTCCAGTACCCTGGCGCGGAGAGGTATGCTCTCCGAAATGTATCATTCAAGATTGAAGCGGGTCGACTTTGCGTAAGTTCCTCAACTTTTGGGCAGCATGCTCTAACCGTCATTGTAGGTCATTATTGGGATGAATGGCTCTGGAAAGAGTACAATATTGAACCTTATTTCCCGCATCTACGACCCAACAGAAGGCATAATTCTTATCGACAACCGTGACATCAAAAGCCTTAGACTCGCTGACCTCCGCACTGCCATGTCTATCCTTTTCCAAGACTTCACGCACTTCCCCCTCTCAGTGAGCCTCATCCTCGCACAACCCAGACGCAGTGTACCTAACGCACGCAGATACGTGAGAACGTCGGACTTGGAAACCCTGCGCTGGCACATGATAACGACAAGATCCGCGAAGCCGCCCGTCTCGGCGGCGCAGAGGAGTTTGTTGACGAGCTCCTTGATGGATTCAACTCCTACCTCGAGCGCCCTGTGAACAACCACTACGCACAGCTCATTGAAGGTACCATGATGGCCTCTGGGCAGCGCGTCGACTTCTCCGCGGTAAAAAGCATCGGGGGCCTCCCCCCGATTATGTGGGCCTCAGTGGCGGACAAAGGCAGCGGCTTGCGGTGTATGTGAATATGCCTTGACCTTTCCAGTGCTGGTCCTGACTTGTCGAATAGCTCTCGCACATTTATGCGCTCATTGGCCTCCGAGACGGAGTCTTCCGCTGGCATGTTGTTATTTGATGAGCCGAGCGCTTCCCTTGACCCTATGGCCGAACACGGTGCGCTGACCTGTTCCTTCGTGATGCCAGGTTTGAGAGCAATATAACCGATGCTGATGAAATAGATCTCTTCGAGCGCCTCCGGAAGTTGAGAGGTAATAAGACCATGATATTCTCCACTCACCGGTTTGGGAACCTCACCCGGCATGCGGATCTCATTTTGTGAGTCCCAGGCACCTGTGACTCCAATTGCAATGCTCACGCAGGCTGACGTGGTTTGCAGGTACATGGACCAAACTGTTCAGGAACAAGGCACGCATGATGAACTGATGTCGAAAGGGGGAGAGTATGCTCGTATGTGGAATCTGCAAGCGAACGCTTTCACTTAACTACCAGATACCGAGACACACATTGTACGATAACCCGGACTACTTATAAGCATCTATACACCACAGCTATGCAATAGTATAGCCTGGACATACTACGGAAAGCAGTAGCAGATCGCGAGAAAACAACAGAAATGATGATGATATAAATCATTGATTGTTCGATTTGAATTCGATCGATGAGCTTTTGTTGATTTGTCGCTTCTGATGATGAGCTCAGCAAATGTTACATAACTAACAACGGCTCCGGTTCTTGAAGCAAAACTTGAACGTCTCTATTGAATTTGAGAATATAACGCATAACCTAGTCTTTAAATCTCGATCTGGCTGCCAGTCACTCGACACCACCTTCATCTACTCTTTCGTGCCGGTGCCTTTGGCTACTTAGTGTCATCATTCGAACCACTCGATCAATGATTGACACCACGAACTTGTCACAAATCAATCGAATCTCGATACCTGAGGCCTGAGGCTTGAATTGGGGACGCAGAAATCAGTGCCTCGATGTTTCCTGGACTCGTACTCGAGCTGGTGGTATATTCGTTTATGCTGCATGTGGAGCTATGTAAAGGAAACGATCGTTTCGAAGGTGCTCCGAGGAGGACGTAAGCCGGACACAGGATGTCGACGCATAGTACTGGGAATGCGAAACCGTTATACAGCCTAACTCAGGCATCGGTGCGCCGCCGTTGTGAATAAAGATAACAAGAAAATTGCCAGTGATTCGTGTGTCATGTTGCATTCCCATACCACTTGATGTCCATTGCCTTATCTTTGCAGTGCGTGTTTCGGTATTTGCCTGACGCCTGTCTTTTAGCTAGTTCCGAATACTAGAACTTGTCCCTGACTTCTTTTTTCTGTTCTTCTACTATTAGGGAAACGAGACGAATGGCAATACGCGCAGGAAAAGTCGACCCCCAGGATGCTCGCCGTGTCAAGCACTCCCGCATCGGTATATGGGACCTCTATGAGGAACGCCAAACACATTCAAGTTTGCTCCGCATACCGGGCTCATCAATAGTAGAAACATGTGCCCAGATGGTCCAGAACACGCCCTATGTAGTGCGCATGTTAAAGGATGTACTCAGCATCAGACGAGTCCAGATACTTCTTCCCATATTCTTGGTAATGGAAGTCTCAGACTCTCTTATACCCGCCGTTTCTCTATGGTACGTCACAAAGCTGGTGACGACGTACATTCATAATGTCTTTGCGCAGGTACTCTGGACAGCTGCTACGTCTTGTAATGCTCCATTGTCTTTCCTCTGCACTGGCCACTTATCTCGCAGCTAGGTACCTACCGCAATAGAGACCCATACTATGGACCCGACAGTCCTCATTCACGCTGCAGTTGGACACCTTGCATGCAAAGTTGCAGCATGCCTTCTCCAATACGCCCAAAGTCTCGTAGTCCTTCCCATGGATAGGTCTATGAAACAATTCTATGCTGGGCACATGTTCCATTCTACGGCTCGCCTTGATTTTCCCACCATAGGAGACCCTGCCGTCCAGAAGCAGCTCAGCTCCGTAATGCCTAGTTGGCGCCATAGCGTAGCCTGGCAAACCATCGAGATATCAACGGGCATCATAATGACACTTATTAGGATGCTCTCCCAACTATTGGTTCTGTTTACAGTCCTGCAGGAGCAACAGGATGGCCTCTTTCTCGTTATTCTCGGCTGCTTGCGATCTATAATTCTTTGGTATACAGAACCAAACATGTCAAGCTCCTCGGGTAGGTCGATGTATAGCATAGCCGATGCTTTGAGCATTTGTCTGAGCCAGAGATGTAGTTTGGATTGCGACCACTACTGATCGAGATTACATGCGGATGCAAGGCCTAGAACAACTCGTCGATGACATTTCACACCGCAAGGAACTTGTCGCAGGCAACCTCAGCGAATATACCACTGCACGTATGTTGACATACCTTACTTGACACTCTCATGTAATGTGACTGGAGACTAGAATTTCGCAAATCCGCTCAACGCGTCGGCGACGATGCGGGTGACTTCCGGGGAATACATTCTGTCAAGAAACATCTGAGTGTCGTTTCCATATTCCGTGGACTAATGCACGAGCTGCCCCAGGTATTCAGGATTGACTAGGAATTGATGAAGCTGATCAATCAACCAGATCATCTTCACCCTGTGGGTCGTCCAAAAGCCAAAGACAATCCTACTCTCCTTGGCGTCATTCATACTAATCGAAGACACTTCTCGTTCGTTTATGTCCACCCAATTGGTGTCGATTAAGCAGTCCTCTCTTGCGAAGCAGTTTGCCAACGTACGCAAGCTATATGAGATTGAGAATGTGGAGAACAAAGTGGTGGATGGCATAGAATCGTTCCCCGAGAATCAGCAGTCTCTCAGGAGTGGTGTTTCTGTTGAGTTTAGGTTGATTGATATTCGCTGCTTTATCCAGGCGTTTCTGAACCATGTATGTCAGGAATGTATCGTTCCAGTACCCTGGGGCAGAGAGGTGTGCCCTCCGAAATGTATCATTCAAGATCGGAGCTGGTCATCTTTGTGTAAGTAATCCCGCTTTTAGGGCGTTCTCTAAATGTGATTACAGGTCATCGTCGGAACAAACGGCTCTGGAAAGAGCACGATCTTAAAACTTGTCTCCCGCATCTACGACCCAACAGAAGGCACTATCCTCATCGACAATCGAGACATCAAAACTCTCAGATTGGCCGACCTCCGTGCTGCCATGTCTATCCTCTTCCAAGACTACACACATTTTCCCCTCTCCGTGAGCCTCATCCTCACATACGCCAGAAACAACGTATCTAATGCACAGGCAGATACATGAGAATATCGGACTTGGCAACCCCGCTCTGGCACATGACGACGATAAGATTCGTGAAGCTGCACGTCTCGGCGGCGCAGAAGATTTCATCGACGAGCTTCCTGACGGATTCAACGCGTATGTCAGACGCCCCGCAGGAGACATCTACCCAGATTTCCCGTGGACGCCCTCGGGGCAGCCCATTGACTTCTCTCTTGTGCGTAGCGTTGGGGGTATCCATGTCCCCCGGGATTTGAGCCTTAGCGGCGGGCAGATGCAGCGGCTTGCAGTGTACGTGCTCCCCTGACATCTCCAGTGCTGATGTTGACTTTTTGAATAGCTCTCGCACATTCATGCGCTCGTTGGCCACTGAGACAGAGTCTTCCGTTGGGATGCTGTTATTCGATGAGCCAAGCGCCTCCCTGGACCCCACGGCCGAACACGGTGCGCTACCCTGTTTCCTCGAGATGACATGAGATGGTTATAACTGGTGGAGCAGATCTCTTCGAGCGTCTGCGGAAGTTGAGAGGCAATAAAACCATGATATTCTCCACTCACCGGTTCGGGAACCTTACTCGACATGCAGATCTCATTTTGTGAGTTTGTCTTTCTTGAATATTGAATGTTAATGCTCGTGCTTACATGGTTTGCAGGTACATGGACGAATCCGTCCAGGAACAAGGCACGCACGATGAACTGATGAAAAAAGGGGGAGAGTATGCTCGTATCTGGAATCTACAAGCGAAACCTTTCCTTTAATATGCCGGGACGGGCCTTTCGTGAGTTTGAGTCTTTCTCTCAGCGCTGATACTCGCACTGACCCGGGATGATGTGTCTAGCAAGAACGCGCGCACGACGAATTATTGAGAGGGGGATCTACAAGCGAAGGGCCCCCATTTAACGACCCGAGACTACACATTGTACAATAAGCCAGACTATTATGTACCATTCCTCACTCATACACTGCGGCTATGCAATAGTCAGGAAATATCACATAGAAAAAAATAGCAAAATGCGAGAACAAAATATGAGAAAGCAGGATAAATGATGATCTAGCCGATGCGTAATACAAATGGGAATCCGTGAGTGCTAGTTCGATGAACTGGGAGACGTTTGCTGCTGCTGCTGCTGTTGCTGCTGAGCCAACGATTTTGCTTTGAACGTCTCCAAGATATGATGTACACCCTCTGGCTCTAGAACGACCTTTGTCCCGTCACATCGTGCCTTCTTCGTGAACTCCGTACATAGGTGGTTGACATCGGCGTCCTAAAAACTTGAATCAACAAAAGCCATTCTATCAAACGATGAGACACCGACCTTAAACTGAGGATGCGACGTAATTGTCCGCCACGCTTTCAGAACCTCAATATTCGCCGGACTCTCTTTCGTCTTCGGGAACTTTACATTAGATGCCGATTCGGAAGCCGAGGGTGGACTTTCGGCGTCTTGTCGGGACATCGTCCAGCTGAATGGATTTTGACCGTTTGACGTGCTAGCTGACGATGGTGATGATGACAAGGGATGTGCGGAAAGGGGAGAAGCCACAGAGTTTGTGAGGATATACTACTGGGTGGTGATTGCGCGTTCCCTGGTCCTGTTCGCGTGTGTCACGGGACTTATAGTGGGTGCGGGCAGACTCTTCATTAGTGTGCTGAAGTCGATGGATCCTTGACCATTCATGAATGTCTCGCCCTTGGCCTTCACCTTCGAACTATTACAGGGGATGTTATACCATCTGAACACAATTAGATTATATTTTCCATAAATAAGGTCACGCACAGGGAGGATTTCTTGACAGTGGTTGACTTCCAGTCTTGCGTTTTCCCGTGGAACACCTGGCAAGAGTGTCAATAGTGACAGATGTAAACGCACTTGCTGGACGTACCTCATATTCTGCTGTGGCAGAGTTCCAAGCGTCGATGAGCGCAGAGTCGTTCCATATTTCTTCGTGTGTGAGTTCCCGACTCTCCTCTCTCATCATGGGCACTGGCGTCGCCGTAGTTCATTTGATTGTCTCCTGGTTCATCCCAGTGAGCAGTTTTTCTGGGGCGTTTGGCTTTTTGGTTTGACCTCTTGCGTTTTTTGGATGGAGGCGATTGACGTGAATGAGAAGCTGCTGCTGAGCTGCTGGCGCCATTGGTTTGGGATTGTTCTAGGTCACTGTACTGGACGAGTTGACGGTGCGAGTTCATGCCTATTGAACAGTGAAAATCGACAAGAATAAGGTAGATACGTGCAGATATGTCTGAGTACAAATTGAGGTAGATACAAATCTAGACGGCAAAACTCTGATTTTGTACAAAACGCAAAGAATCTTTGCTAAGATAAAAAAACATGGAAGCACGGTATGAAGAGAAGAGTTCACGCCGAAGACTAAAGTCTAGTCGCGCCTGACTACATAATATAATAGACTGGCTCATGGATGCACAGATAATCTGTCCTTCAGAATCTATAGTATCTCTAGTGTCCTCACGTCCATCATGTTCTGAACAGAAGTCATGTCTCTCACGTGCGCTATGATATCGCGATCCGACGCGATCCTCTTATATTCTCCGCTGGGCTGCTGAGATAGCAACAGCGCATTAAATTGCTGCCCAAGGCGAACAATCAATCGCAATGCTAGTGAGTAAGAATCCAGATCAATGGTCCCTTTTTCTCCAAGAAACCCGTCAGATAGGTCTAGCAAAGCAGACTGAGGAACGGATGTGTCCTCAAGGCTCTGCGTTTCGTCTGCCAACGCAGGCAGCCCGAGCCCGAGGAGATGACGGTTCCACGGACGAACAAGTAAAATTGTCGTCTTCTGCATGGGTCGTTCCAGCGAAAACTGACTGAGCTTCTCCTTCGTTTTGATCGAGAGATCGTGCAGCCCATCTGCCTTGACTTCATACGTAACATATGAATATTCGTCTTCAGCGTGGCTCCGTCTGACTTCTGTGACACGGAATACTGTGCAGGGTAGGTGCAGCCGACAGTACGCAAAACGAGGAGGGGGCAGTTCGCTAAGCAGGGTATAAAGTTTCGAAGCAGAATCCACAGCCACGGCATCTCGCAGCGATGAGACCGATGTCTGAATTTCGTCTTCGGAAAGATGTGGCGGCTCGTATGGTGGATCTTCGTACGAGGCGATGTCAGCTGGCAGACAACTATTGAACTCCGATGATTTTCCAACCCAGTCCAGACAAGTAATGTCACCTGACTTGGACACGATATCCTGCAAGAGCCGGCCGAGCGCATTTTGCTCCCCCTCTCCATAATCGACACGTAGGCGGACGCCGAAGATACCAAACAGTGAGTATGCGATGTCTTCCTTCCGGATGGTGGTACGCGTCGACGCCCATTTGAGTTTCTCTCGGGCGTCTCTCATGCTTGGTTGGAAGTTGATGAGGGACTCTCGATCAATACCCGTCGCACTCCTCAACTCCTGTATGATAGCGGTGGTCGTTTTGTGGTTGGAAGAGTGGTTGTCGAGATATGGTGTCCAATCCTTCTGATAAAACAGAATGATTTTGGGAGCCAGTAATTCTTGAATCGTCCATCCTCGCCTGTTCCAATCACTCATTGCCAGTGCGCCAGGCTCGCGAACATCCGACAGGTAGACGATCGTAAGCGCTGAGTGGAAATACCAGACAAACATGGAATTGAGTGACTCTTGAAGTTCCGCATTGCTATGCTTGTCGATGCAGCATGTGTCCATCCACGCCCAGTGATACCCCGCATCACGAACGACTTCGCAGAACTTCTGAAGCTTCACAACAGTTCCAACTGGATCAAAACTGTATACAGCCTTGTCCTGGATCTTGTCCAGCGTCTTCTCTTTCTCTTCCCACCTATGCGATAGCGTGACATAACGGAAGTACTGCTCTACCACTTCTTTGATGCGCTCTGTTCGAGCTTCTGCATGCTTCATCGTGGTTAACAAGAGCTCATTGTACTCCGGGGTCGTTATGAAGGCGTTTCTCTGCGCATCTCGATCACATAGGAACCCAGTGGTGGTGTTGATTAGACGGAGCGGCGCGTTTTCGAATTGAGCGTCAATAACCTTTCGAATGAATTCTTCGGCTTCTGATCGACCAAGATAATTTTGGCGCGACTCTGGGGAAAGAGTCAGGCTTGTTGACAGGTGAGTTGTTTGGGACTTACTTCGTATTTCCAGTCTGGAAGCGGTGCTCAACTTGGAGAGCATGGTTTGGAAGGCGTCAATGGCTTCACTAAAGTGTTGTGAGCCGAGAAGCGCTGCGTGCTTCAACTCATATCCGGTATATGACGAAGGGTTGAGTTCGATTACCTATGTATCACAAATATGAGTGTTTGATTATAAAACAACAAATGTTGTCGCACTTTTTGTGCATCGAGAAGCGCGCCCTCCCATTGCATTTTTTCCAACCTTGCCTCACTCCGCTTTGCAAAAATGGTATCGCTTACGGCGGCCAGGTTGGTTGCCGCCGAATATAGGTAAATAGCTTTGTCGTAATCCCTCGCTCTGAACGCTGCATCTCCGCCATCAGCATAGCGCTCACTGCACTGACGCTTGAAAGCTGCGTGAAATGGGGGTGAGGATTGTAGCCTGATTGACGATACAGAAAACTTACTAGTGGACCAATCAAGGCAGCTGGCCTTCGTGCTCTCATCACTCTCATCGATCATGTATTTGTGTGCTTTGAGGGCTTGTTCAAGTTTATTTGCTTGAAGGAGTGCAAAGCACCGTTTCTGATTTGCAGTCTGCCATAAGGACTGGAGGTCCCACCCGAAGAGCTGTACAAAGTATGTGATTGAAGTATTTTCGGTTGTGTCATACCAACGCACCATGACAAAGTCATCATATTTGGAATAAATGGCGAATTTAGTTGAGGAACCGCTGGCGTTGATAGCAGCAGTGAAGTGGTCAGCAGCCTTGTCGTGACATGCATTATTTGAGGCATGGACTCCGAGCTGAAGATGTAGATGTGCCTGGTGTACGAAGTTCCAAAAAATCAGTGCCAACGCACGTGCCTGGCTTGATGAAGCATCATACTCACCTCCACAATCAAACACGCACGAGTATCGGCACTAGGACAAGCTTTGGCCAGCTCTTGGACGCGAAGAATTGCATCCTCATGTTGATCTGCATTAAAAAGTGTAACAGCCTGGAAACAACAATGGAGCATGGAATATGTAAGAATCATTGAACCTGCCTTGATCAAGAGAAGGAGATGATTGGCATTCGGATCTCCGTTCGTGAACATGGACGCGAGGTCAAATGCTCTGATCGCGTCCCAAATCTGCTTTTTCCCGCCGAGGGCAATGCCCTTGGAGATATAGCCTGTCAGCGAGGGTTGAATACTAAGGGACTATGTTATGACCAAAATCAGCTTTTGTTATGCGGGCCAACATAGGTCAGTCAGTCTAACCTTGGAAGCATCATCAAGCGCGCGGCTCCAGTTGTGTTTTCGCGCCATGACAAATGAGCGATTGGCGTACGAGTTATAATTGTTGGTATCAGCATCAATCTCTCTTGTTAGCAGTTCTTCAGCTGTAGACAAGTTTCTTTTTATGCATGGGTTTATAGTGAGGATCTGCATGGAAAAGGTCACATTAAGTCATATGAATCAAGAATAATACGTGCCTTAACATCGCATAAAGCGTGCTCGGGTATTGACCATTCTGAGACCTTCTTGTCGTCACCTCCACTAAGGATACGTTTGCCATCTGCAGTGAATGTAACGCAATGCACCTGGCTGCTAGAGTGCCGGAATATAGCGATGGTTTTTCGATCCCAGAGCCGCCAGAGGCGAACATTATGGTCTGCAGACGCGGAGGCGACCAGCGTACCATCAGAGTTCACGGCAATAGCGTTAATGTCGTGATTATGACCTTTCCAGGGATCGCCGACCTGCTGCCCCAGTGTGGATAGATCCCATTCCCGTATGGTTGGATCCGCTTTACAGCCGCCTGAGAGAAGCCCTGTGCCATCAGGCTTCCAAGTGAGTGGCAAGCTAGTTCCTACATAGACTTTGTGCATGTGATCCTTGAAGGTTACTTTGCGTTCTCCCGTCCCCGAATTCCGAATTTGGATGTCAGAGGCTGTCGCGATGGCAAGTAGTTCGCCTGATGGTGAATACCGAATGCTGTAGACTTCTGCACTACAGTTGATTGGTTTTCCTCGTTGCTGCCACGTCTCTGTGTTCCACAGCCTCGTCATATGGTCCGATGAACCAGACGCCAACGTTTTGCCATCCGGCGAAAAGTCCAATGAGCGGATGTATGTGGCGTGGGCTTCGATGGGTGTATTAGTAGGGGTGAGAGATTCACCAGTATCTCTATCCCAGATGATGATATCTCCGTGGTCGGCGCTTGCTATCAAATTTCTGTCTTGCGATACCGCTACTGCCCGCACCAAGCCGCGATGCCCCTCCATTTTCTTCAACACATTAATACCATTCTCCAAGCTCCACAGACGAAGTATTCTGTCTACCGAGCCCGTCACCATATGTCGTTGATCGGGGAAGACTGCGACTGCAAGCACGGTATCGGTATTTTCAAACGTTCGATCAGGTGTGTCGATTATAGTAATGGGTTGCGCTGTTTCTTCTTCCATTGTGGTAGAGCTCGATGGTGTTGAACATGGATGATAGGCACTGTGGACATCTTGAGCTACAAATACACTCGACGTTTTATCCTGCTTCGCAGCGCTAAACTGTATCAATAGACGCACAGCTATGAAGCTATTATTTTCACTCAAACTTCTCATCGTCTATCAAGGTCCGGGGAGACCAGCACTATCGCTGAGGCATATTTTTGGTTTTCCAACGCTCGATTGGGTGGGCTGCTCGATTCTTGAGCTCAGCGCTGAGCCCAGCTGGGTTCACTAACTTCAAATGTCATCGCTTCAGGCACTGGGCCCATCTGTCAAAATCACAATTATTAACGCGCACTCCGTTCAGTTGATCATCGAAAGTCGAGCTCTCCTTGCTGTAAATGTAGCTGAGCTTGCCCTGCGAGATGTGCTTGAAGTTCAGCCTGTGTTAGTTGCGGTGTGCATGCACCAAATGCGTCTGCACAGACTGCAACCTGACAGCATTGCGGACCTTTTAAAAATGTCGATGAGTTTGCTGAGGTGTACTGCCGTTCATGGCGGCACCCTTACTAAGTAGTACACAGCTGAGTGTGAGTCCATGTTCAATATTCAATTCTTGCCAGGTTTCAGTCCGCGGCCCAGGACCCACTATTTTTTTTCAATTTCTCACATCCCGGGCTTATCTAATTGATACCACAGCACATCCAATCTTCCGTCGTTATATCAGATAGCGATACTCTTACGAAAATATAGTTCGCAAGGTCGATACTCATTCTCGACTCTCCAACCAGAAGTTCAGAACGAGACGCAGGCGGAGGGCGCAAAATGTTGACGCACCTTGCATACAGATATCGATGTGCTGCCGCTACTAGGCATAAGTAAGAAAGACATCGAGAAAAGTCTATCCATGAGAATGCGTTCCCATCCCATTTTTATATTTCCATTCCACCCGACATTTACAGCCTCATCTTTCTGACTTTGCAGTATAGTATTCGGGATTCGCCTAGCGCCCTCCTCCTTAACCACTACATATAATTCTCCAACCTACTTCTGTTCTCCCACCAGAATCAGACATCGGAAAAGATACGAATGGCAACAAGTTCAAGACAGTCAGACCTCCGCCCTGTCACGCACACTCGTATCGGTATATGGGACCTCTATGAGCAATGTGGAAAAGAGTTACCACGCAGACCGGATTCATCAATGCTGGGGACATTTGTTCGGATACGCGATAATATGCCCTACGTGGTGCGCATGTTCAAGGAAATACTCAACATCAGACGAGTTCGGATGCTTCTTCCTGCATTCTTGGTAGTGCAAGTCTTAGACTCCCTTATACCTGCCGTTTCCCTGTGGTGTGTCATAAAGCTTTAGGTGACTCCTTGTGCATTCATAATATATTTGTGCAGGTATGATGGACAATTGCTCCGACTTGTAGTGCTATCTTTGTTTCCACCTTTACTTCATACTTATCTCGATCATAGGTGGAGACTGCGATGGAGACACGTACTGTTGATACAGCAGTGGTCATTCATGTGGCAGTAGGACGTGTTACATGTGCAGTCGCGTCGCACCTTCTCCGACACATCCAAAGCCGCATCAGGATCCCCGTAAACATGTCTATCAAACAATTTTACGCTAGACACATATTCCATTCGATGGCCCGTCTCGACCTACCCACCTTTACTGACTCAGCTGTCCAGAAGCAGCTTGATTTTGCGGCGCAACATAGGGTTCTAGGCACAAGCCTTGCATGGGAAGCTATTCAGGGATTGACGAACCTCGTGGCGACGGCCACTAGTATGTTCTCTCAGCTTTTTGTTCTATTTACAGTCGTGCGGAAGCAGCAGGATGGTCCACTTCTTGTGATTCTTGGCTTCTCGCAATCTATGTTGCGCTGGTATGGGACTCGACCATCGGTGCCCGGCTTCTTTGGTATGGGGGGTAGGTCAACAATCGACTCTCTGTAGACTCGTCTGAGCCATTTATAAATGTAGTTTGGGCCGCGACCACGACCAATAAAGACTATATTCGCATGCAAGGTCTGAGGGTCCTTAGCGATGCCCCTTCGCACCGCAAGGAGCTTGTCGCAGGCAACCTCGGCGAATATATTACTTCACGTATGTCGACTTACCTTCAAGGGCAACCTCATTCTGATATACTTATCACGAGCCAGAATTTTGCGAATCCGCTCAGCGCCTCGGCGAAGATGCGGGTGAGTTTGGAGAAATGTATGAAGCTCATTCTATCAGGAAACGTCTGAGCATCGCGTCCATCCTCCGTGCAACGATGCACGAGCTGCCTCAGGTAGGCAAGATTGACAGAGCAGTTGATGAAGCTGACCAAATGAACCAGATCGCCTTCATGCTCAGCGCCGTGCGAAAGCCAATGACGGTCCCCCTCTCTTTTGCGTCACTTGTGCTAATTGAACATGCATCTAATTCATTTATTTCGGCACACCTCTCGCCGTACAGAGTGCTCAGTCTTGCTCCAATATTTGCTGACCTTCGCAATCTATATGAGTTCAAGAACGTGCAGAACAAAGTGGTTGATGGCACGGAACCGTTCCCCGAGAATCAGCAGTCCCTCATTGATAGTGGCATTTCTATCGAATTCAGGTTACTCCACTATTTGTCGCGTCATGTAGGCGTTTCTGAGGCATATGGTATTTCAGGAATGTATCGTTTCAGTACCCTGATAAAGAGAGGTGTGCTCTCCGGAATGTTTCGTTCAGGATCGAGGCTAGTCAGCTTTGTGTAAGTCCCTCCATTCTTACTATCTTCTTTATAACCGTGACCGTAGGTAATTGTCGGAGGGAACGGCTCTGGGAAAAGTACGATTTTGAAACTCATCTCCCGCATTTACGACGCGACAGAGGGCACGATTCTGATCGATAACCGCGACATCAAAACCCTTAGACTTGCCGACCTCCGTGCTGCCATGTCCATCCTCTTCCAGGACTACACGCACTTTCCCCTCTCGGTGACTCTAATCTTCATACACCTCAGAAGCCCAATGTACTTAAGCATACTCAGATACGCGAGAACATTGGACTTGGCAACCCCGGCTTTGCGCAAGATGATGACAAGATCCGCGAAGCCGCCAAGATGGGCGGCGCTCGAGACTTTATTGAGGAGCTCCCAGACGGATTCAACACCTACATTGATAACCCCGTAAAAGACCGCTACGCGGGCCTTCCCGAAGGCCTCGCGATTCCCGACGATTGGCCCATTGACTACTCTAGCGTGCGTAATATGGGGGGTCTCCGTACTTCCACTGTTTCGGGCCTCAGCGGTGGGCAAAATCAGCGGCTTGCAGTGTACGTGACCATAATTTGATGTCTCGGTGCTGGCGCTGACTGTTTACCAATTGTTTGACTAGTTCACGCACATTCATGCGCTCCTTGGTCACCGATAAAAACTCTTCCGCTGGCATGCTGTTATTCGACGAGCCGAGCGCTTCCTTAGACCCTACAGCCGAAGATGGTGTGCTTCCCTGTTTCTGAACCAAGTTTAAGAGTCTCATACCTGGAATTAGATCTCTTCGAGAATCTGCGAAAGTCGAGAGGCAACAAGACCATGATATTCTCCACTCACCGGTTCGGGAATCTCACCCGACACGCGGATCTTATTTTGTGATTTTGAGGCTCTTCGAACACCAATGCTTGTGCTGATCAGTGGCATAGGTACCTTGACCGGTCGATTCAGGAACAGGGTACACACGACGAACTAATTAAGAAAGGAGGATATTATGCTACTAATTGGAATCTACAAGCGAAACCTTACATTTAACGATTCAGGACCAGAAATGCAAACCTTTCGTGAGTTTGAGTCTTTCTCTCAGCGTTGATACTCGCATTGACCCGGGATGATGTGTCCAGCAAGAACGCGCGCACGGCGAATTATTGAGAGGGGGATCTACAAGCGAAGGGCTTTTATTTAACGACCCGAGACTACACATTGTACAATAAGCCGGACTATTATGTACCATTCCTCACTCATACACTGCGGCTATGCAATAGTCAGGAAATATCACATAGAAAAAAATAGCAAAATGCGAGAACAAAATATGAGAAAGCAGGATAAATGATGATCTAGCCGATGCGTAATACAAATGGGAATCCGTGAGTGCTAGTTCGATGAACTGGGAGACGTTTGCTGCTGCTGCTGCTGTTGCTGCTGAGCCAACGATTTTGCTTTGAACGTCTCCAAGATATGATGTACACCCTCTGGCTCTAGAACGACCTTTGTCCCGTCACACCGTGCCTTCTTCGTGAACTCCGTACATAGTTGGTTGACATCGGCGTCCTAAAAACTTGAATCAACAAAAGCCATCCCACCAAATGATGAGACACCGACCTTAAACTGAGGATGCGACGTAATTGTCCGCCACGCTTTCAGAACTTCAATATTCGCCGGACTCTCTTTCGTCTTCGGGAACTGTGAGCCCTCGCAAGAGATCATACTCCCACCCTGTGAGAAATCGCTTGTCTTGCGCACCACGGGCTGTGTGAATGGTGGACTCGTAAACGGCGAGTCGCCGGATGCAGCTATATGCTTGGCGATATCCTCTCTCGTTGGAAAGTGCAGCATAGCCCCTCCGGGATTTACATTAGATGCCGATTCGGAAGCCGAGGGTGGACTTTCGGCGTCTTGTCGGGACATCGTCCAGCTGAATGGACTTTGACCATTTGACGTGCTAGCTGACGATGGTGATGATGATAAGGGATGTGCGGAAAGGGGAGAAGCCACGGAGTTTTGTGAGGATATACTACTGGGTGGTGATTGCGCGTTCCCATTCCCGTTTGCGTGTGTCACGGGACTTATAGTGGGTGCGGGCGGACTCTTCATTAGTGTGCCGAAGTCAATGGATCCTTGGCCATTCATGAACGTCTCGCCGAAAAGCTCGTCTAGGGAGTGGTTTTGCATATAGTCGGAATGACTTGTAGATTGTGAAAATTCTGCTGTGGATTGGCCATTTCTTGTGCTGTTCCAGGAATTCGAAGGTGAGGAGAAATTGAATGGGAATTGATTCAGACCGTTAGAAGTGTCATTAACGGTTTCATTGCTGATAGGACCATTATTGAACGAATTGGAATCTGTGTCGGCAAACGACATGAAGAATGTATTAGTGGCGAGAGTCTTGTACTGGTTGGGAGCTGGCAGGGCATATTGGCCATATGGTGAAGTCGAAGAATCAACTTGCATTGAACCTGAAGGAGCATCATCCATTGCGTTAAGCAATGTGGGATCAAACGTTGTCAGTGAACTCCAATCAATGTCGCTAAATGGCTTAGGGGAGGAACGGAGAGCGGGGGGAGCGGTGTGTAGTACTGCTGGAGGGGAGCCAAAGAAGCTGAATGGCGCTTGGACGGTTGGAGGTGATGCTGATGAAGAAGCCTGTGAATGATCGATTGATTTCGGCATTGAAAATGTGAATTGAGCTTGCTTGAGAGCAAGGTTCTCCTCCTGAAGGCGTGCGAGAAGATCTCGTAAATTAGAATTTTCGTTTAGCGCGTCCTTATTCTTTGCCTCGAGAGCGGCCACTTTATCCTCCAACTAAAAACCGGCCCGTGAGTAAGAGCAACGAATTGAATCGATTGACCTACATCCTTCACATGCTTTTCTTTTCGTTCTCGGAAAGCACGTTGAGCAGCACGATTTTGTTCCTTTCGCTTGAGGAGTCGTGTGTCATCCTTGAGATAATGTGAATTAAATTTATTGCAGTTTTGGAAGCCGAGGAGGCCACGAACCTGAGACCCTCCCGACTTTCGTCTGGATGCTGACACTTTCTTTGTGCCGCTCGGGTCATCAGCTGCTTATGCAAATGGAAGCTTAAACGTCATGGATAAACACGAGGAACGATAGGTTACAGACCAGTGTGTTGATTCTTTGAACTTGGACCCTCCTCCATGTCGTCATCGCTTGCTTTGCGCTTGAGCGCGGACTCGTCGTTGTCATTTCCACGGGAGTAAGTAGACTGGTGCCTAGAGCGTGGATGATTGATACTGTTGCTACTTGGTGGGCTTGGGCTGCTATCATCAGAGGGCGGCGTAAGACCTGGCAAAGGAGGATTCTGGATGTTCTGGGGGTTTACGGCGCCAATGTCAGTGGAGTTGACGTCCGGAACTGTATTAGGGTATTGTTTTTGAAGGAGAGCTAGAAAGTCGTCATCGCCAAGCTGAGAGAACTGAGATGGAGTTTGCGATAGATCCCAGAAGTTGTTCATAGTGGGGAACTCCATGAGATTATGGACTCGTAGACAAGCTAGATAGAATGAGTGAGCCAGGCGTTACCAAAAGTCGCGAGCCCGCTGCGGGTGACAATGTCGAAGAGAAAAGAGAATGTTGATAGTGAGAATGAAGCTAAAGCAGTCAAGTCAGGAGAATAAGATACGGGATGTATGCGTCGGCGATCCCAGTTCTTGCTATGACAAATCATCACAAGTTTACCCCCCCCATATTAATTTTTTTTTAAATTTATCTTTGAATAATAACGTTATATTTCATTTTATGTACAGCATGCCGACGCGGCCAAAAGTACTCGTCAGTGCGGCAGTGACGTAATGGAGGAGGGGGTCATTTTCATGCTGACTTCAGTTTCCGCGTTGATCGTTACATTCTGAGTTTGATGGGACGGTAATCATGCACATAGCCAGCTTGCCCTTGCCCTTGCACGTGCGGACCCGCGGTAGTCACCCCAATCTTTGACTCGTAGTACTCGGGTAGCATCGATGTCCGACTTTCCGAGGCTACTACATAGTATACCGGGCTTTTTATTTTTTATTTTTTAAGTCCCAGTGAGAACTGAAAGACAGTACTGTCTAGTCTTAGGGGCCCCTGTGCCTCCTTGCACTTCTAGATTCATGAATGCCCCCGAGCCTCCACCAGTACACCGGGCTTTTAATGAGTGAGGCTCGTCCATGACATGAGAGATACCGATGTCAGCTGAACCACATCGATTTGGTCTTCGGTGATTTTGCAATATATAGGTCCTTCCGCCTCGCAATTCAAACATGACCCAGCGCACCTTGAGCCACGGATCAATGTTTGTTCCTATAAACTCAAGGGTCTAAATTTTGGCTACTATTTTCTGGTTGGTGCTTTCAAGCACTTATTCTCGCTCTTCAATGCTTCTGACCTCCACTGATAGGCTCAACCAAGACTACTGTGCGTCACACTTCTGTCCGTCTCATGCGGGTCTTCGAATCCATAGGTCCATGCGGCATTATGCAAGCTTCTAGTTTCTCCCTCTCGCCACGAAAGGATTTAAGAACTTGGGGATGATCACAAGGATCAAATTCAATATTCACAGCTGCACAACTTTCTTTACGCTTCTTTTCGCTACAGTTTCCCTAGCCTAAGCCTGATGGTGTAGTATGTACTAACAACAACAATTCTTGATTTAGGTAAGGAGTTGGTGCTCCTTCTCTTGCGGCCGTATTCAAAGTTTCCCCGAGGAGAAATAATATTATTGGGGCATCTCGGTTGCTTGGCTCAGAGCTTCCCTTTATGGATAACGACCATAGAGGATTGCGGCCCCAGAATAGTTAGAGTCTCTGCAAATTCACCTGACACCTATACGGTAAACTGAGCTGCTCTTCCCAAGCTCTTCCCCAGCACAATCCCACATGCACACTAATTGTCTCTTGTCTGATAATGACCGCTGCTTTCCATATCAAATTAAAACCCCTTGTCTCGCTATCTTGTTGCCACTATTGTATTCGCCCGAGTTCACCGATTTCTGGCTTGCAATTTCGGGCAAGTGAAACATGTGAGTGTTATCTGCTTCAACTTCTTCCGCAGCCAATGCCGTTTTGATACCGCTTTCCGCAGTCTTTGTGGTTTTAACTCGAAATAGTTGATTGCTCCTCTCACGGTTGTTCAACAACCCTGAAATACTTGACCTCTGTCAAGTCGGTGAACAAAGGCCATCGAGTGTCTGGTTCACACAATACAATACATTTAACATCGGAAGTCTGAGCTTGGATACTGAATTACAGACCGCCGTTGATTGTCCACCAATGGGTTTGGCCGTGGCTACCGCATCAAGCTCAGAAGGGACGCGTATCCTTGCGGATTGCATGCTCCATATGTGGCACTTCATTTCAAACGCCTAAACTACCGTTTCTGATCGGACCCCAACTCACCTGCTTGAATTAACCGAAGATCCGAGCCCTTCTAGCCAGTCTAGCCCCCCCCCCCCTCCAATAACCGTAGCGTTGATCGACTCTCTAACAGCAAGCTGATCAATCGATCACGATCGCATTAGAGCCTCCTCGGTCGCTTCAGCATGGTATTATACAAGACTGCATGGAACAAATCACTCGTATGCCAGCCCCTCGGACGTGATTGACATTCAAGAAATGACTGACGTACCCACACGGGGCTATATACGTCCTTCCGCCGACCTACGTGTCTAGTGACGTTCAACTGAACCATCCAGTTTATCAGATCAACTTTTCGAACATTCCTGTACCTGACTCAAAAGTGCTAATTAACGCATTACATAATTGACTTCGGTAGCATTTCAGCTCGCGGTTAGCGAAGTTAGCAAACTGATACCCACCCATTTCAGCATATTAAATTATCTATGTACCCGATGACATAGGTAAGGTGATGTACAATAAGTAAGTGTGTCGTTGAAATGTGTCTGGTATCAATATCGCTCGAAAAGGTCACTGATGGACAAGGATGGTTAGCTTTCGCGGATATGAGAATGCACCGACGGCGCATAATCTACGCACATAGTATTCAATCTCTAGCTGTTGTTGTCAAGCGACGGATCGTCGTGAAGTAATGATGAGCACGGGGACCCTTGAGTGATGAAATACTTACGAAAAGAAAAGCGACGTTCCGGGGCCACAAAATGTTGAGGCCAACGGGGTTATAAATTTGGGTATTTATTCTCTCGATCGTCTGCTTTAGCCGCCGCATCTCCTATGTAAACTTTGTTCAGCAAGTACGCCACACGGGGGTATAAAGACAAACCTTATCGTAGTGTGACGTGAGGAAAAGGGATGAGAGGTGCAGGGTGGCAACTGCGAGAAAGTTGTATATAAAGGAGTGATGGACGCTATACGCGGATATTAGAAGCTCGTTGATGTCGTTGATGGTCTCCATGAATTGAGTCGGTGTTATCTGGTAAGCTGGGGTTAGAAAACCAGGGTAAGGGGTAGATAGGAGCTTGCAGTACTCGGCCGTCAAGTTCAATGGGATATGTTGAAGAGAACTGAGTCAGTTCCCCTCCGGCATAATCCCTTTCAATGCGTACAATTTCTCGAGGGTGGTGAACACCAATTTGTCCAACTGGAGGCGTTCCGTAGGCCGAGTCTGATGGAGGTGGTCCATAGTAGTATGATGAGTGGGGGATCAAGGGTCGCCGACGCCTGTGTTGGCAAGTCAAGATCAACATAGCATAAGTCACTCATGTAAAAATCAGAACGTACCCAGTTCGCTGAGATGCGTACATTGGAGACCTTTGAGGCGAGTAACATCCAGTTTCGACGTGGTCATTGTTCTCAAGCGGCGGATCAATGACATCCCAAGGCTGAGGTGAAGGCTCCCTAAATTCAAGATTTAGATGCGCTGGTTTACGATTTGTTCGCCTCCGAGGTTTCTTATCTGTCTCTGAACCGATATCGAGGCTATCACGGTCGTGTAAGGACAAGTCATTAACCTTGGCTGGTGACTCCGGGCGTGCAAGGGGATACCATTCAACAATGTCTACCTCCTCTAGACCTTGACTTTCTTCGTTTTCCAGTGGCGGTGTTAGGATACGCACGCTCGCACTGTCGGTGGTAGGTACGCGAGTGAGTGGTGGGCTCAGTGGTAGCTGTTCGGCTGGAGTCTCCCTGTCCTTGTGCTCCACTTCAAAACTATTCAATTCCACCTGCTCCGCCCCTAAAGTTTCCTCGTTTGTAAAGTCCATGCGTATCCACGAGGTTACTTGAGAGGGTGGCTGCGCTGGAGCAACGAGGCTGGATGTCACAGTAGTGGAAGAAGAAGAAGACAACTGCGTGTTGTGAGTTGTTGGCTCTGTGGATGGAAGAATCTGTTGGGAATGCGTATGGGATGTCGATTCATCGTTCATGGGAATTTCAAGAGATGTCATGACTTGTCAATGTGGCATTAAAGATGCAAGGTCAAGGCTGGCTGCTTGGCGTTATTCAATATAAGACTGAGCAATAACGGGCACTTTGGCAGAGGATGCTCCGGGTAGATGTAGGATATAGAATGAGCGTTTGACCCCGACACTTGGACGAGTTTCAGCGACGAGGTTGGACGTGGTGAAGCGGAAATAGATTTGGTCGCATTAAATTTATCATCTCAACATCTCTACATACATTTGGTACCACATATTTCATTGGCAGACTGGGATATGGTGGCAACTGCTTGTCCAACCGCATCTCTCAGTTTTGGGTGTGTTTCAACACTCGGATTTCATCGGCATGTGACATGGTCCAACTAAGCAAGTCACCCCAAAACTTAGCTATGGTATCGTTATCTATAGCAATATTAATGTCATACAACTGGGTTCTTGTGGTACGAACAGGGGTGACCCCAGGGGGCCTCCGCAAAGCTCGCAGGCACACTCTCGACGTTATCAGAACTGATCACCTTTGCAGAGCCTTCTATGTGCGGGATTCCGAGTCGGATATAGGTAGCTCGCGGAGCTTGGTCTTACAGATAGAAGGCACTGCAAAGCACCTACTTAAATTGCAAGCCGCGCCCAAACCAGTTTTGTGGCCTCGAAACCCGAAAAGGCATGGCTGCAAGGCGTCTTCGCCCTCCACGAGGGGTCAACTTGTGACGAACCATTTACCCCTCATCAACTGCGGAAGATTGGGCTGTAACTTCGCCGCAGATGCTATCGTCAATGCCTCCTCAGAAGGTTTTCAGGAATCTCGCACATCAACATGCGCACCCCTTCCTTCTAAAGCTGATAGGCGCTTATTGGCGACTCGTGACCGAAGGTGACAGATGATAGGCAGATCAGGTTCACCGACTTGAAGAGCCCGTGCAAGGCAAATGATAGCAAGTTCTGTGGCGGATGTGCATCTATCATCAACAACAAAACAAAGGGAGGCGCCGCGAGTACACTCACGCAGTCTGAATCGAACCTGAGGGAACGCATTTGTCTCGATTGAGACTTGTCGGGGTTTATTCGGAAGGGCACGATTCTCGATAATCAATGATCTACCAGCTCTGTCAAAGAAGGTTCAGTCATGCAGCGTGCTTTGCGAGAGAAGAATGACGCAAGGCGCCTTGTTCTCTGCACCAGCGTATAGTCTCCTCTAGGTGAAGAAGGCGGTCGTTCCTTCTATGAAAGCTTTTATACGCCGGCGTGGCACGCGCCAAAGGAGTTGACTGGCTGTCGTTGTCTAACAATACGTGGAAATGGTTGAGAACGACGCCTGGGTCTGCGTTCGGAGAGGGTGGCAATCCATCTCGCAGTTGCAATGTGTCACTATCATATTGTCAGACAACCAAGTTAGATGGAATAGAACGACTCAAGCTTAGCAGGGACGAAGTTCAAGTTAGAGGCTTCGACTCTTCTTTTCATTGTCCCGAATGATACGTAGATGTGGTTGAGAACTGACCCCATTCTCCCAGTTTGGATGGGCTAGCGTTATGTGATCTGAGACAGGGTCCCTTCAGGTGATCAGGAACTGTGAACGAGGCCAAAAAGTGATAGATGAAGCTGTTCCGTAACTTCCGTTCCATCTCGTACTATCAAAACGTTGGAATGGAACGACTCGGATTGCTTGTACCTTAGCTAATTATGAAAATTCAAAACTGCAAGACATCTTACGCAGTCAATCATGACGTTTCTCTTGAGACTAGTCCAACTGCATCAATAAAGGCACATGCAGAGAAGTTTCATTGACACGCTAGCTATTGCCCAGCCATCATGCAATGCACAAAACATGGTATTCGCAGCTCAATGGGCTGTCAGACAAGTGTGACCAAAGTATCTTTACATGCGAGTGTGGATAATTATCTATATTATGCGATACTGCATAACTGCTTCGTCAATGCAATCGTAGGGTCAAGCTTCAAGCCTAAATAGCAAGCGCATAAAAAGAGGGATATTCAACCGGTATTAAGGAGGAGTAGGTGCAGTCCTTTCTTGTGAGCGAGCAGGAGACGTGGTTGGCTTCATTGGTGGAGAGCCTGCTGCTGGGTTCATGACCTCAGAAAGCTTTCCTCGCGATGGAGGAGTAGAAGAACGGTGGGAGTCGAGAATCATCCGGTCATCAGATGTCGAATGGACGCTCGATGCAGGTGAAAGCGTGGCAATAGGAGGAAGTGCGATAGGAGCAGATGGGCTGACATGTGATGCATGGCCAGGTCCAATGGGACGAGGATGAGGCGGAAGTGTTACGGCTAGCTGCGGTGGACTAGTTGGGTAGTGAGATTCAGTATGACGTGACTCGGGAGAATGCGAAGGCTGGGTACGGAAGGGTATAGGCGATGGTCGCGACGAAGGTATGGGAGTGTGTCGTGAACCTGATGGAGATGACACGCTGCGCTTGCCACCATCCACCCGAGATCGCTTCGTGTCCAACTCATCCGGGACTGGGCTCAGAGGACGCTTGAGGGAGCTAGAACCTCCAGGAGGTGAAGGACGGCTGCGCGAAGAAGAAACAGAGCCACGATCGGTGGATGAAGATTGCATCTCGGGTCGGTATTGCGAGAGATGAAGAAGCGTTTCTATGCCTTCGTCATAGTCATCATCAACTATACGTGAAGGTGGACGAGGCGTCGCACTTGTAGGCGAAGGCTGCAATGACCTGCTTCCCGAGGAAGACGTCTCAGGTCCCTCTTTTGCAGAGAAAGAGCCGATCTTGAATGGAGCGGGCATGTTCGAAGAACACCATTAGAATCTGACCGACCAGAATCATCCTTGGCGCGTCGCTGCCTTCGCTTCTTATCCTTCTTTGGCGCCTCGCCAATGACCCCAGTACCAGCAATGCTTTGCGTGTCCGAATCCTTGCTATCCTTTACTGGCTTCCGTTTGCGGTCGCGCGTATCAGGAACAGGAGTGGGTCGCGGGCTTTCAGAGGGACGCGAGTTGCTCCCCATATGGTGAGGAAGTGCATGTGGAATGCCTTCTGGAGAAGCTGCGAAACTCGCCGACTGCCTACGTTGCTCATGCAGCTGACGTTCTCGCTCATAGTCCCGCGCGTCTCTTTCCTGTTCACGTGCAGGGTCGTATCGCCAGTGGCCACCCTCAGGAGGACCTGGTGGTGCAGGTGAACGAGGGTGAGGGGGACCGCTAGGGGGTTTGGAGTCCCAGTATGCACGAGATGAATGTGCGGACGGATGTGCAGAGCGAGGAGATGTCTCCATTGGACTGTGTCCACGAGGGCCAGGAGAACGTGAGGGATAATAGGGTTGCTGCGAAGGATGTGAAGGATACTCAGGGCGTCCTCGACGCTCTCGTTCACGTTCCCATTCACGATGATGTTCAGGGGTGGCCCACGCCGATCCCATGCTATGTCATGCTCTGGACGAGGTGCCTCACGAGGGTAAATAGGAGGCGATCGTTGTGCCAGGCTGGGCTGGGCAGGTCCCACGGGTTGCCTGTTTGATGGAGGATAGTTGGGGTACCCAGGACCTGGAGATCGGACGCGTGAATTGTGTGGTGGCGGTGGCGAAGCGGAGGTCGAAGGGACCCTGAGTGGACGCCCAGGGAAGTGGTCACTGTATTGGCCTAGGGCCATGGACGGCGGAATTACGAAGCTCTTCCGTTTGTACTTGCTGCTGAGGAACAGGATGATGAAGGAGGAGGGTTTGGTGGCCAGTTGGCCCGCGACTTGTACCCTCACGCGATGAACCAGAGTAGTCACGAGGATGAGGTGGACGATCAACGTCCATAGGTGCGAGAGGTGTATGTGAAGGCATGTGGCGACTCTCGTCCAGCACTACAGGCGGCGGAGGACCACCTCGGAATGGACCAGGTGATGATCTAGAGGCAGGAGCTGGTGCAGGAGGAGGCAAATGAAGATTATCACCGCTAGGCGGGCCGCTTGACTGAGGCCGGAAGATTGGGGGTCGAGTTGACGTCGATTGCAGCAAGAGAGGAGGACCGGTGAGTCCCGGAGGAGGAACTACGGCGCTGGCATAAGCGGTTGGGTGCACGTCCTGGGGACCTGGCGCAGCAGGCAGCTGACCACCAGTCGCTTGAGCATTCTTGAGGAGCTGGAGACGCTGAGAAATGACATGATTTCCAGGATCAAGTTCGCTGGCACGAGCATAAGCATCGATAGCGTCTGAGATTTGGTTGTTGCAGCTCTCGTAAAGGCTGCCCAAATCGAACCAGACCTCAGAGATATAAGGGTTGATGCGGATGGCACGCGAGTATGCATCAAGAGCGTCACGAAATTGGTTGATCTGGAAGTAAAGGACACCAATCGAACACCAAAAGGTGGGATTACGGCCGTCGCGGTAGACCGCCTGCTGGTAGGCCTCGTATGCCTTATTGTACTTCTGGCCAGCCATGTACGCACGGCCGAGGAGGTACCAGCTTTGAGCGTCTGAAGGGTCTGTGTGACGGCATCGGTACCAAAGATAAAGATAGCTAAATTACAATAACCCACCAGCTTCCAGGCTCTTGGTCAGGTACTGAATGGCAAGCTCTTGGTTCTGGAAAGAAGATCCATCTTGGTGATACAACCACCCCAATTGCTGTAGAACTTTTGCATGCCCAGGGTTGTCAGCAACAACACGTTCATATGCGTCCTTAGCGCGGACATGCTTCAAAAGATGATGAGTATGCAGAAGTTGTGCGACGGGACAGGTAAACTACTTACGTCTTTCTGTTGCTCGTAGACATGGCCAATCTGGAACCAGATGTCCGCATGGGCGAGAGGACTTGGAGGATTGCGCAGGATGCGATCAAAGCAGTTAAGCGATTCATCATATTTGCCCTGCTGCTTGTAGATTATGCCGAGACGGAAGAGAATCTCATTTGCCTTGTCAAAATCTAATTCTGCGGAATGAATATCAGCCAAGATGCTTCGCGAAGTAGAAGAAAGCCAACCTTTGTCCATCTTCAGGACAGAAGCGAACGCCTCTTCGGCGTGGTCCAAGGAGCCATACCGGTCATAAAGTATACCAATACCGTACCATAATTTTGGATCCTCCTTGGTGTTGACATGAGGACGGGAGAAGACATGGTGATATGACTACCTGACATACCTTTGGGTTAGGGAGCAGGTACAAGGCTTGCTGATAAGCGGAGTAAGCCTTCTGCAGATCATCCTGCATGAGATAACAATGGCCTGCAATAGAACAAAGGCGATGAGCACATACGGATATGTAAGGTAAGATGAACTAACCGAGTGCGCTCCATACTTCGCCGTTGTCTTCTTGTAATTGAAGAACACGTTGGAAATACTCAACAGCCTAAAAGAGAAAGAGGATGACATCAGCGTCTGCCACGTGAAGATCTGATTGAATGGATCTGATAGACAGGGCGCAAACGAAAAGTGACCAAATGGATATCCTCGGAGGACATCGGCTTCGACGCGGTATTGGGACGAAATAGCATCAAGGATTTTTCCTACCTTTGGATAATTTTCCTTGATCCGCGCGATTCCCGCAACTTGTGTAAGTCCTGACAGGGACATCGGGTTATGCCGTAGAGCGTTTTCATATGCTGTGATCGCATGTTCCAGGTCGCCCATCTGCTCCGCGACACGCCCTGGGAAAAACAAGAGCGTTAAACTCATTAGCCGATTTTCTTTGAATAGGAAGATGAAAACACTAACCGATCAAAAGCCACGTTTGTTCGTTGGCCACTGCCAACTTGTGAATGACGCTTGATGAAGGGGGCGCAACGCCGTTTGAGGCGGGAGCGTTTGGGATTACGACAGGCGATACGATCTGATTTGATGCTGTGTGTGCATGGGTAGAACCATTTGAGAGAGCTGGCGTAGTAGGCAAGGCCGCTGCATTGCCATTGATATGAGGTTGATGTGCTGGTGCTGTTTGGTGTGGAGGATGTGTGAGGATAGCATGAGGATGGGAGTGAGCAGGTGGGTCGTGCATTCGCACATCCCTGTCAGACTGACGTTGCATGTGTCTGTGGGACATGGTAGGAGGCGATTGACGCCAAGTGGATTAGAGACAGAAGCGAAGAGGGGAAAGTTGTCAAACCTTGGAGGATGATGTATTATATATGAAACTGCGGGAGAGGGGAGATCAGGGCCTTGGCCGTCGGCTACTTTCACGTACTAGTAATAGTGATCTCGGCTCTTTTCGCATGTGGAGTTTTCATGGAAGTACTTCCAATCTTGTCCCATAGCGTGAGTTAAAGAGCTTAACGGTCGAATCCAAATTTAGTAATAAAATTAATCGCTGTCTTTCAAAAAGTTGATTGAAATGCCAATCCGCGTAATGCCGTGCCATTTTCGGTATTTTTACGGCAACCCCTTTTGACGTCCAAGATCTGGAACGATCTCGGAGGCGATACTACAGTACCATTCTATTGGTTCCGACTTGCCGTGAATACTGTTGTCAGAGAGCTGTATCCAGGGTCTATTCATACCTCTTCTGGAAGAACCCATTTCTAATTTACCCTTCACAATAGCCAGGTACCCTCCTGTCAAAGCTTAGTGGCGTATGCCAATCTTGATCTTATTGTCACTTTAGGAAAATGAAATATGCCAGGTTCTTCTGGTCTCTTACTTGGCCGCCGCCCATCTCTCGCTTCGCTAACACAACCCGTCATGATCTCACAGCCGCATCGTAATCTCCACGTGTCCAAGTTTGTACTACTCCTACGAAACATATCGTTCATATGATGCGATGTCACGGAGAGTACGTATATAATAGCGACCTACTTTAAAGCTGCATCATCTTATGTCCATCCAGTGCTACCGTTCTTTTCGGTTCACTTACATGCTATATCTCCGTCGAACCTGCCGCGAACCCTGAGGCCTGAAGTTGGTGCCGACCACCTAATCTGTTGCTATTATTCAATTTGGTGACGCGATATGCCAACACCAAGGCTCACAAGCTTCCATTTTTTTCTCCGAGAAGATAATGACCACGCGTTGGACAAACAAGGCAATTTCATATTTCCATCAATCATGAACCAGCGTTCCGCTGACTTCGTTTCAAGCACAGCGCTGGTCCTTGATCGCCTCACAACCATGAATGAACGCGATCCTCCGACCGGGTAGATCTACCTCCGTCCTAGTCGGTGTGCTTCAGATTCATCGATAACTGATCCCCCTGTATGTAGTCGTTCTTTGCTGTGGCAACAATAATGTTGCGCAGTCATTTATCTAAAAGACTAGAAGTTCATAATGATCCTATTTTGCAGTAGTGGCACTGACCCTATCAACCTCAGCCTTACGTTAAACGCTTTCTCCACCACTCATCTCGAAAATTACCAAAAACAGCACGGAACTTCCTTTGGACTTTACCAAAGCGAGCGCTCAGAGCTAGACTGCTCAGGCTTAGAGCGTGCGAAGGATCGCCAACGTCAGGCTTATCGGACCGGCGAATAAGACTTTCCATCGGCGAAGTTCGGAAGAGAACGAGGTGCAAAATAAGAAGCACTGCGTGCCAGCAGGCACATTTTTGTAAGTTGGGGGAGAAGTTAGGGCTGTGTGCTGCGGTGTGGGGGTGTTCGACCCAGATCAACTATCTGAAAATGCAATGTGACAGATTGGTACATGCACCGATGGGAATTGGATCAGACTAAGCGGCGCCGCACAGGGTCACGGCAAACATGTTAACGTCGTTCAAGTTGAGTGGCTGTTGATTGCAGGGACGGATACACCGCTTACAACCACATGCAAACTGCACCCGACTAGATTCGTTTGACAGTAACGAGACGGTCAAGTCCGCGGGAGATGAAAAGATATCCACGAACGTATGCCTACGTATGCTTGCGTATGCCCACGGTCTTCTGAGTGATAGCGGTTCTGCGGCCAACTTTGATCTTCCACCGTGCTAAAATAGGTAACCTTGGACGATAGAACGGCTCATCGAGATCATCTTGACGATAGCGTTCCCATTAATACTAGTACTCGTCATGTGACCAAGTATAGTCTCCATGCATCATGTTCTCTCGCTTGCTGAAAGTTCGTCCCCATGATCATACGATCATTCATTGTATGTATCGTAATACTAGTAGTACAAGCTTTCTTTTAATGGGAAATATATCTGGGGTTTCACAGCTTTTGAACGCCTGATTCATCAACGAGGTTATAAATGACCTTTCTTGGATTTCTGATGGCTAACATTGGCGCGCTGTTGGCTACTCGCGCTCGGTTCACCTGGTTCTTAAGTTGGAACACGGGAACTTCATCTGTCTCAACGCCGCACATTGCTCCATCGATCGAGGGAATACGATTGTTAGGTCTGATGCCTCTCGATTACCGGGGCCAGCTGATCATGCAATTTGATCAGGCGAGATCTCAGTGAGGGTGCAATTCCAAATGATGAATAATATCACAATTGACAGCCATTCATTCGGGAAGAATATACTAAAGTTTCGACGAATCAAAACCTGATCCAAGCAATTTCCGACTCGGAGAATATAAAACGCTCTTTGCTTTCACTTTGCCGCAAAGTTCGGGGAGGTGACTTGGCCAGCATCGCACTCTCAATCGCAGCCTTGTGTACGTCACCATTGACAATAGGCGTATCGATTCCGACGGACTGTCCGCGCGATGTCGACAACCATTTGAAAATAATATTGTTCTCCTCAAAACAAGGTAGGCCTTGTGTTATTCGGCAAGGGCACGTACGGTCTGGTGACTAAGGTGACAACATGGGGTAATACCTGCGAGGTCTTGACATGCTGTCATTGTGCGATGTGACGTTGCAATCTGAATCTCCCCTTTGAGAAGAGTCCCTTGGCATGACAGAACAAATCCAAAGATAGCCGATAACTCGTAATCAGCACGCCTGAACGACAAAACCGACTGAGAACAGAGAATTGCGTCCCTATGCCAGACTATCGTAGTAATTACGAGAATGTCTCTTTGTATCCTAATTATGAAACGTGGCCACAAGATTTCCTTCCTAATTGAACACGTTCTTCGAGCCCTAAACGCTGTGGCGGCAAATGGGATGAATCCGAGCCATTCCAGAAAACAGGGCGGCTCGGGCGGGGAAGTGAGTAACTGAGACGCCAAAGTTAGACAAGCGTGAAGGGAAGATCCGTGGTCATTTGGCAGATATGAAAAGGCCATCATGAGATATTGCCTCTTTCGCTGACGCGCTAGAGATCTATAGAGATGCTACAGGTTGCGATATGATGATCATGAACGTGGTGTCCTGCGGTTTCTCGGAACTGAAAGCCCTGGTCCAGGGAACAAAAGTCAAATTTAGACCATTCTTCCACGCGGTGTTTGTTGTTGTTTGGCAGGCCTGTCGACTTGGGTTTAACACCAAGGACAATATTATACGAGTACATCAATTGCTATTGATTTACTGCGATGACTCGTGAGTCACTGATTTTTTTTTTTGCAATATCATGCTGTCGATGTCACTGATAATCTCATGCGCAATGCAGGAGGAAATCAACGAGAGACGGATCGGGCGAAGGCCGCCAAGAAGCAGGCTGCTTTGAACAAATCCAAAGCAAAGGAGAGTAATACATCGCTGGCAAAGCGCAAGGAAGCGTATGTACTACTTTTTGCATCGTTGAAAGTGATGATAAGCTTATATCTCCCTTGCAGTGATGCAGAGATTCTAAGAGCGAAGCAGAAGGCATGACCTTCAGTTACTACATCTGTCCTCGTACTGTTTGGCTCACTCTACTTGATATTAGAAACGAGACGAAGAGAAGGCCACAGAAGCCGCAGCAAAATCGATTAAATAACACGAGTCCATGCTCAGGTCGTCTGACTCGGATCCTGACTTTGGTCTCTGATTGTTATCAGTTAGAACTTGGAGACTTTTGGTGGGAGCGTCTATCTGTTCATATCCTCTTCAATACCGTTGCCTTACTTCCATAGCTTTTGATATTGCACTGTAACGTCTTGATCTCAACCTGCGACACTTACGCGATGGGATACATTAATTTCGGACCCAGCTATATCAAATCTCAACATTGTATTCGTCAGCTCTGTCTCCGACTAGTATCCAATGTAAATTCAAGGCATCAGAATCAGGACTCCCTCGCAACACTCGAAGTACGACGGAACGGGACTCTCATACTGAACCTTAATTACCCGTTCCACAGGCTGGGGACGGTCTTGCGGTACCTTCTCAAGATGCCATACATATGAGATAATCGCACGGATCGACAGATCATTGGGGCGATTAGTCAGATCGTGGACTTGAAGTTTTGTATTGATTCTCCCGGGGCCCAAAAGGGTGTTGAACTAGAGGAGATTCAGATCTTGATATCAGAGGATGAAATATTAAAATTTAATGCTGTACATAACTGTGCTATTGGCTGGTTTCTCATGACAGACAAGGGGCGCCGTTCCACTGCCAGGCCATCCTCCACCATTCCTTCTAACTTAAAATCGACCTTTAAGTAACAGACGGGTCCTCGGGTGCCCCACATCTTATATTACCTCAACAAGTGCCGTCAATCAAATGAACGCTATATTTATCAGGAAAACGGGCTCCGGGTCTCCGGCATGTCAAATGTTGGCTTTTCAAATGTAGCGATGCGATGCGATGAGATAAAAAGCTTCTATGCACAGGTAGCCCTGAATCCTCCACCTGGATATTTAAACCTTGCTCAACATGCGAGCTATCAGCGCTTTAGCGATCAAATCACGAAACCAAAACCAGATACGGATCCATTATGCCTATTTCGGACACGCGGTCAAGCAATCTCCTGTGTTGAATGCCAAACCTTGTTCCCATGGCAGGTCCATACTTGACGGATGATCCTGCGTGCTCATCGTGGGTGATGGGAACTCCATGCTTGTTCCGATCACCCGTGATTCGAGGCGACACACTTTGCCTTCATCTCTTTCGAGGAACTATCATTTGTTTATAACGGACATCACATGTGGCAGGCCGCTCATCGCTTTCGATAACTCAGCCCACAGCCCAACAAACAATTTGACTCATTCGCTCGCCAAGTTACTGGGTTCGCCTGTAACGATGCCCGACGTTTGAGAACCCCGGATGAATCCTGACGAAAGAGGAAGCGCTCGCGCCGGTGTTTTGGCCGTGTCCAAAAACGTCTGGTTCGAAGACTAGGCTCTTCCCGTTTAGAATCAATCAAACGGCTAGAAGAGTAACTCACTAGTACATTTAGCCTACTAGCTCGTCCGCCTAAATCAGTGGTAGCGTCTTATTTCCACTCTGGTCTAGACTTGATCGGAACGTTCATGAAAAAAAATAAAAATGCTTGATGTGGGTCTATACTATCCAATGATCCGTGCCCCATAGATTTAATGGTAGAGAAAAGAAACCAGTCATTTTACTTTAATCGCCTGTCCGCCCTCTCCACGTCTTCTGCGAGGTGCATCCCCGGAGATATCGTCACCACTCCCAAGCCCAGAACCCCGAGGCGCAGGCCCAGAAGGAAGGTAATGATGAGGAAACTGTGCCATAGGCGGAACTGGATACCTTGACGGAGAATGAGCAGCTTCGTGGCGTGAGCGGTATAGGGAGAATAAGGAATTCACGAAGACCGTCAAAAAAGTTAGTGACGTCAACGTAAAGGCCTATGCACGAATATGTAATCAGCACAGCGTACTGATCGGTAGGAATTCACGTGTACTAACCAATGTTTTCCAGCTAATGGGCTCCACAAAGCCATTGATGACGTCCGCAATGAGTTCTGCACCTACCCGAGCACGGCCAACCATGTTTGGGTCGCGATCCATGCATGTTTTCCAAGATGCACATTGTTGAATCATGGCAGGCACAGGGTTGTTTTCACATAGGTTGTTCCTGTATTGTGTGGCACACATGCCGATCTCTTGCACGATGTCTGAACGAACGATTCATTTTAGCAGACGCATTAATCAGGATGAAGATCATACCCATCGAATATTCTGAGATACGGTGTTCAACATCACGTTGTACTGTGAGAATGAACTGCACCAGGAGATAAAGAAACACCATAACCAGGGACAGATTAAAAAAGAACTGTAAATATCTTCGGAAGCATGATCAGCGCACTTGGAGAGTGGGAATGCAAACGACCTCACCCCAGCAGGACCTGTGGCGTTTCTGCTCGTGGCACCGGGTTAGCCGGCATGTTGAGTGTGTAGTGGTTTGACGTGTTTTGTGTCACAGGCCCGACATGATCTGCATCACCATCAATTTCTTCCTCGCTGCCGTACCCCAGGTCGTCGCGTAATGATACAGCGTGTTGGCTTTTTGTACGAGCCTTCTGCCTCGAGTTGAAGACCCTTCTGAGCGCCCCTGTGGCAATTATTCTCCCGTTTTCTTTCTCAGAAGCCTCGGGTTTAGGAGGGCTAAGTTCAGACATGTCCACGTCGCGCAGCTCCTGCACAGGAAATGCTTTCTGAGGTGAGAAATTCACAGGAGGCACCCATGGGTAGACTGGAGGAGTCTGCAGTGCTGGAGCCTGAAAGATGAATGGCACGTTCCGGTTTTCTCCAAATATAGGAGTTTGAGGTGGCTGAGGAAATCCCGGGCTCGTGGGTTGAAGGTCATCAAATGGACCTGAGACTTGTTAGTAAAGTTAGAATTCAAACAGAATGAAAACCCACGTTTTCGGGGCGTATTCAAGTCATTAGCCCAGACTGGCTTCGTATTACTACTTGGCCGAGACGTAAACTGGAAGTCCATTGGAGCCTCCGTCGATCTCTGTGCATGCGTATGAGTGTTCATGATGTCACAGGTGTGTTAGCGGAAGTAAACCGCTACTATAGTTCAGAGCGCCTTATAAGCCGAATGCCGCAGAACGGGTCAAACAGGTAGAAGGTGCGAAAGGCCACCAGCTGAAGTGCTGACGGTGCAAGTTGCAAGCTGCAACACGAGCGTGACAACGACGCGTGTGTCACACTCATTACAAGTTTTCGTCACGTGGTAGACCTACTAAGACCACAGCAGTCTCGCCGAATTCATTAAGCTCGATGTTGTCAACAATGAGGGCTGCTCCATTAAGGGCAGCACTAGCGGCAACTAGAAATCAAGCAAGAGCAGGCCTACTACCCTCTTTACGCACATTGCACAATATCTCCAGCACATGGGGACCCCCATCAGCAAACCTCGTGCCCATAGTCATCGAACAAACAGTAAGCTAACATGCATTCTTCGGTTGTCTTCAGCTCAGCACTCCACCTCGTGCGTGCAGGGAAGAGGCGAGCGATCATATGACATTTTCTCTCGCCTATTGCGCGAACGTGTAATAATGTTGTATGGACCTGTGCGTCTGCCGTTCTCCCCAAGCCTCGGGCTGAATTAATTCATATTGCTGGCTTCCAGATACGGGATACAGATTCAGCCCTGACCGTTGCACAACTCTTGTTCCTCGAAGCTGAAGACTCCTCTAAACCAATACACCTATACATAAACTCCCCTGGAGGAAGCGTGACTGCAGGACTAGCTATCTATGATACAGTACGAGAGCTCTTTTGTCTCTTTTCTAGCCAGACTAATATTTCAAAGATGCAGGTTTGAGATTCCGCGGGATGGATTTATTCGGGTCTGACGCCTACCTGTCCACTTTCAGTACGTTTCTTCGCCGATACATACATATTGTGTGGGACAAGCATGCTCCATGGGATCCCTATTATTAGCAGCGGGTATGTCCCTTGGAACCTTTTCATTTAACAGAGGTATCACTGCGGTCTAGGTGAAAAGGGAAAGCGTCATTGTCTTCCTAATGCTAGCATAATGATCCACCGTGAGTGATGACAGTGGCGGCGGCAACCATCACATAATTCATATGACTCACTTGCAGAGCCTTCTGGAGGCGCCTCTGGGCAAGCTTCCGACATTGCAATTCACGCAAAGGAGATTTTGCGTGTGAGGCATCTACTGACAAGTATATATCAGCAACATTGTGCCAAAGCAGAGGAGAGCGAGGCATCAGGGCTGGAGCGGTTCGGTAAGCCCCTCTTCCTTTGCCAGGGGGCCATATTAACTTTTGTTCAGAGAGGGCTCTGGAGCGAGATTATTTCATGACGGGCAAGTTTCCTCATTTATAATGACGACATATCTCTCACAGAACATTTTTAGCACAAGAAGCTCTTAACTTTGGGATTGTTGATGGCATTCTGGAGAAGAGACCAAGTTCCGAAGGTGATTCAAATTTGGATGGTGCACGAACTTAAAGCCCCTTCTACTCCCGATCCGGGCGCGTTATAGAGCTCGCAATGGAAGCCCCTTTCACCTTTTTTGTAGTCTCGTCTACGCCCGTGTAATCTTCGCTGGTGATGGGGTAGGATAGCATGGCTTTCCTTACGCGTGAAGTGGACTGATGTGGCCAATGCTGTAAGTTTCTAGATAGGCCACCTCCCTGAACTATGTGGCACTGAAGACCCCTACCTCCATTGTGAAAAATGTCAGACCGCAGATCCCCGTTTCCAGAATGGTGATCGGCATGTCAAGGGTGAATTCCCAGGTCGGCGTCTCCCCAATTAATCGATCTATCTGGCCAACATGTTGTGCGGTGGGCGTAACACCCTTCATTAGGAATGACTTTATCATGGTCGGCCTGAAAGACCTATATGGCATGTATTGTAGCGATGGTGCTCTCCAAATTGTACTTACGGGTACTAACAGTCGTAAAGGAGATTACGGATGTCAATCCATTCCTCACTCCATGTTCCCCGCCGCGCACTTTCGTGGCCTCGAGAAAACCCCTGCGAACATGTTCCAATGCGCAGTCATCTCGATCGGAGGATAATCTTGTGTACACTCGTCCATTAATCTCAATTTCCGGAATTGTCCTTTGAGCTTCGAGTGAAGTGTGCACACCAAATCGTGTGTATCACCTACATATAACTTTCTTGTAGGTTGTGCAGATCCTCGACGTGTGGAATACGTGTCAAAACCTGGATCGTCTCCTTGTCCACGCAGTTACCACGGTCCTGCACATAATAGGATATGTAGCTCACCCAAGATTAACGCGAATAGATCACGGTTCACCAAGTGTACCCGGTGAGTATCATGATCGAATGAGGGAATACTAAATAGCCTTTGCCATTCCAGGCTGCGCTTGTTTGAAAAAAATTCCATGCTCGTGTGCGCGGTGCGTGCGCCGCAGCAAGTCCCCCATCATTTTGGCGAGCTCGACCTCAAGGCACACCTGCGATCTCAGATCGTATGCCTTATCAGCATTTCACCGATATTTCAACACAGCCGTTCGTGTGAGCGCTTCGTCCGAGAGATCCCATGGGTCCCACACGATCCGCTGATGAATACCTGCGGATGTCATCGGGCCACAGGAATAAGGCGGGATGCTACCAAGGGACAGGGTCTGGCATCTGTGTCACCGAAAGCATATTTAGCTACGCGGATGCCCTCATTCCGCTGGCTGTTCCTCATAGATAACCTCACTTTGCAATTGGCCAGTCCTGCATCAGAACAACAATCTATTTGGTATAAAGGCTTGGTTTGTGTGGCTTTTAGCATCTCTTAGCACACGCGCCCCTGCACGACCATGGACATATGGAATTCTTTCAGCCACCTTGTTTCCTTTTTGAACTTCTGGTGATATCATCATCCTGCCGGATCAGACCCAACAACGATTGATCAAGGGAGTGAGCTATGGTCTGCTCTGGCCTTGCGGTGATGGCATATTCTAGGGATGGTTTAGGATGTGACTAGATAGGCGATGAGATAGATGAAACTATGACGCCGCTCAGTGACAGGACCCTTGGCATATGGCTGGACATATGAAGCAACCTGGTGTCAGCTACTACATATTAATTGAATGAGGGGGCAGTGATCTCAGGTAATCTCCTTCCCAATGATCAAATGCAGGAGCCAACATTATGGAGAGTGCTCAATAGATAGCCAAATATAGCTCTGTTGACTCTGCATTGTGATTGATGGATCGAAATTCCAACAATCTCAACAATTGGGGGTTTCCAGATCTCATGAAATCATTGGAGGTCCAAACCGTGGTTAATTCTGGTTTCAGCGAGACCAATTACTTCAGCATACAAGGAACACCGCACTCGCGGATATAGAGAGGATAATGCTACAGATAAAGATACAGGAGAATATCGGCGCAATCAGCGAAAAAATAATTTGGCATGGGGCTTTTAAAAGAAACCAAACAAACGCAGAGCCACCAAATCCTGGCGCCTACATCGTGCACGGACCGATTAAGGATTATGATCTTCGCCACTAGTGCATGCTGTTGCGAGAAAGGAAGTGGCGGCGATTGCCCCCTCCTCCCCTGCCTCCGCCATTACCTCCCTGCCCCTTACCTCCATTGCCTCCTTGCCTTCCACCTCCACCTCCGCCTCCACCGTTACCACCGTTACCACCGTTACCTCCATTACCTCCATTACCTTGGCCGGAGGTGTTAGTGGATGAAGCAGCAGAGCTTTGCGCAGTTGTTGTTCCACTCGCAGCTGCAGAGGACGCCGCAGAACCACCTCCAGCACCGTTGGCGTTGGCGTTAGCGTTATTACTGACAGTAAACTAGATAGATGATGAGTGCATTGCAAACATGTGTCGCGGGAATGAACGCACGTAGACTGCATCGTCAAGAGATCCATGCTGTGCAATGGGCACCAAGACCGGCTGGTGGTTTGCAGCACTGTTGATCGTCGAGATCTTGTATGTCCCCTCAGGGAGACCATTAGTCACGTCAACGGTGAGGATGCCGTTATTAGCTGGGTCGTTCAGGCCCTTGAAGAACGAGAACTTCGTAGGGTCGGTCGGTGTCGTCTGCGTGAGTGAGTCCAGCGGCTCGATGACGATGTGGGAGTGCCCCTGAATCTGCCCTTGTCCATTTAACTGCTGGGGTGCGGAGAAGTAGGTTTGTTCGGCATTGGTAAAATGCCCCGTCTCCATGCCTTGAATGGCAAGAGAGACGGTGAACGTCTGGTCCGGCGGGATAACGTCGAGGTTCTTCGGATTAGTGAATTTGGCAGAGGGCATGTTCGCCGTGGAGGGAATGGAACCCATAGGTGCGGGGTTGCATGACCCACCAGAAATCTGCTGGCCATTAGTGATCGGCTCACTTGGGACCGTTAAGCAGAAGTTGATGAAGTTATTCGATGAGGTGAGTGATGCGACCTGGCCAGCAGTGGGCTGACCCTGACCGTCGTTTTCGAAGCCCGTCGCGATGACCGCGGGGTCAAGAGCTGAAGAAATACAAATGAAGATATTGTGCAAAAAAGAATACAACAAAAAGGACATACTCAGAGAGCTCTGGGGATCATTTCCGCCGCCACCATTTCCCCCTCCCCCTCCCCCTCCGCCGCCACCACCACCACCTCCATTTCCGTTGCCATTTCCACCACCTTGCTGGCGAACGACTAGACCAGGCTCAGGAACGGCGAAGCCAGCGACCAGCGAGGCAAAAGCAGGCAGGGTAACAAGAAGTCGAAAAAAAAGTTTCATTTCGAAGAGAAAAAACAACAGGCTTCACAGAAGCCGAAAAAGAATGATCAGGGGAAGGGTCCTATAAATCTGCTCTGATGTTAACCATCTTCCTAAACGAAGGAAAGCAAAGAAGTGACACTCACAATAAAGCAGCACGGCTGCTAAGGGGAAGGCGATGCAAGGGAAGGTGTCAATGAAGAGAACGGTCTGACATTTATACGGTATAAAATTCCAGGCTGCAGACAGCGTGCTCCTAGCTTTGGAGGTCACCACGGAAACTACAGCGAGCGGCATTGGGCCACAAAGACAAAGACCACGGCAGCATCGCGACAGCCATTCGGCAATGTCAAACTTCAGCAAGTCTTGCAGGAAGTGCTCCAAAGGAAGGCAAAAGGATCGTCGTGAAACAGCACTAGCATTGGAGAAGTAGATTCACTACCAAATCGGGGATGTTGACATCGCAACAGCGGTGGTGTTGTTTAGCAACTGCTTAGTCAGCAACACAGCTGATAAGATCGAAAACATTATTGAGCAGTCAAAGGACCTCGAGGGGGGTCTACGGTGATCGTAAAGGAGACCAGAATTTGAAACGCACAGAAAATTTACCACCCACGAAGAACGGGCCTTTTGGTCAGCAACTATGAACGTGCCAACGTGGTGCGTGATCGGGGGGGCATTTGCAGAAGACCTAGACAGGTATCACACATGCAAACAATTTGACAGCCACGTAGAACGAGTCATCGGTACCAGAGTCTGATAGACAGTATCGCAAGAAACACCGCTCCCTGGTATGAGGCATTGTGCTTGAGGGGTATATTAACACAGTAAAATGATCAGTTACACGGTAGACACGTTCTATTCATACTTGGTTGAAGTTTTTACCATGAATGACGCGAGCGTGTCTATTTCACTGACCGCATGGTCCTGGAAATGTTTCTCTGCAATGGCAGCAAGAATTGCATGGATCTCAGTAATATCTGCCAAGATGGGCGTGCGACTCTCGCTTTCCTCGAGTAACCTCGAGCTTCGTCGGCGGCTTGGATCTTTTGTATCTCTCTTTGGCCTGTTCCCAGAAGTGGGGATCGTGAATGGACTGAGGCCTCGTGGATTCTGTCGTACAGGGTCAAGGAGAGAATCGGGAGAGGGTGGATCTGCTGCGGTCAAGGGTGGTGGGTACACGGGTGGAATGAGATTGAAATGAGAGAGGTAACGATAAAGCCCTGCGGTTGGCATGTTTCTGAAGTCAATCTAACGGGGAATATATCAATGTAATGATGGCAGGTGTCACAGAATCCTCTCACTGCGCTCTTGAGTTCATTATCTGCAGACTTATCTGCCCTTCTGCCGACTGCTGTGCCGTGTTCTACTCTCTTTCTTTTGACGCGTGGCTCTCCCTCTGCCCTGTCCACCGCCTGTCTCTTTGTCCCTGCGACTCCAAAGTAGGCTGCATCGTCATTCGGTTTCTTGCGAGCCTGAGGACGCGATCGTGAGCCTGACGTCGAACCGGCGTTGGCTGATAATGTTGCTATCGCAGACATATTTGCGTTTGAAATGATGTGACTGAAACTGAATCGTTAGTGCTTTAGCATTGATGTTCCCACGGCGCTTATCATTTTATCTCTTCGGTCAGTTCTCGTTAGTATATGAAGCTGTTTCACTAACAACCTCTAACAACCTCTAGACTGGCAAGGCTCTGCAGTACTAGCCTGGCTGGATAGGCTGTTGCATGGTTTAGAAACGCTTGCTAACCTAAAGCGTCGTTAATCGCGACAAGTTCGGTTAAGGATTGCCTGTCGCAGATAAATAAATAGAAATCTCATACGATACCTGAACTTCTCACTTTGCCTCTTGTCTTGAACCAATAATGTCTACCTTTGGATCCCTTTTCCGCGTAACTACCTACGGTGAGAGTCACTGCGCCTCTGTAGGTGCAATCATCGATGGATGCCCTCCTGTATGAGTCATTTCCGCCCGTAATATGAATCAAAGTTCACGATATGCTGCAGGGACTGGAGCTATCTCCACAAGACATTCAGGTGCAGCTGAGTCGCAGAAGACCTGGACAGAGCAATCTTACCACACCTGTGAGGAGCTTTTCTATTTGTGTGTGATATATTCTCACCCCGAAGTCTGCGATAGAGAGATGAGAAGGACCTTGTGCATGTGCAATCTGGTATTGAGCAAGGTGTCACCCTTGGAACGCCTATAGGCCTCCTCGTAAAGAACGAGGATCAACGTCCAAAGGATTATTCTGAGACAGATTTGTACCCTCGCCCGAGTCACGCAGACTACACCTACCTCGAAAAGTATGGTGTAAAGGCTAGCAGTGGAGGCGGACGTAGCAGCGCACGAGAAACTATCGGTGAAATTATCTTATTTGTAACGTTCCTCAGAGTCTAATTTGAAGTTTCTTTGCACAGGTCGTGTTGCAGCGGGTGCGATTGCTGAAAGATACCTCAAACAGGTGTTTGGCATTGAAATCGTCGCATTTGTCAGTTCAGTTGGCAAGATCCACCTGCCGTCCAATGTGGCACCACCATCCCTTACGGCAGTGGATGGGGACGAGGACAATGATGATGCAGTAGATGCGTTAACACCTGAATTTAGACAGTTACTAGCTACGATTACCCGGGAGGAGGTTGACAAGCATCCCACACGCTGCCCTCATCCAGAAACTGCAGAACGGATGACAAAGGTGGGCATTATCTCCCCCATGATACCTGTTGTAATTAGTGACTAATTGCTCATCATCAATAGCGCATCATTCGCGCTAAAGATTCTATGGACTCTATTGGCGGGACAGTGACGTGCGTCATTCGTAATGTCCCGTCAGGTCTTGGAGAGCCAGTTTTCGACAAGTTCGAAGCGAAACTTGCGCAAGCTATGATGTCGATTCCTGCCACGAAAGCTTTCGAGGTCGGCTCTGGCTTCAGAGGAACAGAGGTTCCCGGAAGCAAGCATAATGACTCTTTTGTCTTAAAAGACGGTAAACTCGGCACTTCCACTAACTGGAGTGGTGGTATCCAAGGAGGCATCACCAATGGCGAAGACATCTACTTCAGGTGCGGAATTCCACCTCTCAAGTTTTGCTTCACTTACTTTTTTCTATTGCAGGATCGGGTTTAAGTCACCTGCAACCATATCGCAAGCACAACACACCGCGCAGTACGATGGTACACCAGGGACACTCGCTGCTCGCGGGCGTCACGACCCTTGTGTTGTCCCTCGTGCTGTTCCCATCGTTGAGACCATGGCAGCCATTGTCGTCATGGACCAGCTGCTCATTCAAAACGCACGCAAGACTGCCGCTGGGCTGCTCCCTCCTATCACAACGCTCCCACCCACCATGGTGATGCCATCGCATTGATAATAGAACGAAGATCTCGATAGAGTATATAGACCTTCAACAAGGATGTATTGGGTATAATGTGATGCTAGTATACAAATATAGTCTGAACAAGATAGCGCGAAAGCAAATGGTCGCTAACGACGTCACCGCGCGTGGGTGGTATCTCGTATATGCGTATTGGCATGTTTGAGATCAAGAGATTTCGCACGGTGCTTTGATGTTATTCCTCGACGTCAGAGCAGTCCACGCAGAGGCAGCAAAGAAATAATTCAAGTTGCCACCACCACCACTAAAAGAACGTGAGCAATTCATGCTGTGAAGGTGACTTGGCTCCTCACGTGGCGGTTTAGCAGTCTCCCAGGCCACTTGCCGAAAGTTTCATCTATCACATGTTCTCGTCGCCTCTCCACGACCTCGTCCCCTATAATATCTTCATTATGTCCCCTTGCGTACGAGTACCTGCAAGGGGGTCGCAAGAGTGGCGTGTGTTCGTTCACAGGACTGTGATATGTTTCTGGTGGGAGACTTCCATGTCGTATTTTCCGCCGACCAGTAGGTGATGATGGCTCTGAAGCATAGTTTTGTGATGCGAGGAGACTTACTCGCTGGCCTAGTGGACCCCATCCTTTCGAACTTGCAGCATTCGCAGAACGTAATGGTGCAGAAATGGATGAGCAAGGTGAGCCTGATATCGACGAAGCACCAGATGGCAGTCCATCAGAAAGCCGTCTGCGACGCATGCCAGCAGTTATTCGTACACGAGAACGAAAGTGGACCCGTGGGCTGGATCGATCAGTAGAGCCCTGAAGATCATCTCCGGACATGGTTAACTGTGACGTTGCGTTGAGACTAACTGAGCACGCCAGATTCCATGTGACAGCGTGCAGGCTTACATAGGGTCGAGGTCCATCGGCAGATGAGCGTCTTCGTTTAGAACGACGTATGAAATCAGCCGTGTCCTCGTAACACTCCTCGTCCTCGGAATCAAATATGATGCTGTGGCGGCACGCTTCTCTTGGCTCCCTACTTTTGTCCCGCCTGTGCTGCTGATTAGGGATGATAACTGATTCCTCTGAAAAATCAATTCGTAAATGATTACCCAAAGTGAGAAGATATTGCATGAGGTCAGACAAAGAGAGAAATTCCATTTCCACATACCTTGCATTATACATTTGCGGCTCCTTGCCAAGTTCCCCTGAGTATCACCCTGAGTCCTATCGCCATTCTGCATTACTGTAATATCCGCTTTGAGCGCACTGCTATCCGCGACACTCGCGGGAGGCATGTGGGATTTTGAGACGGTAGTCACTTTTGAATCTGTGTGGGGAAAGCACGAAACAGACGTACTTGAAGTCGATTGGGTGAGGTAATAGTAAGGTAATATGTAGATTGGCATATTCCGCTCACGTGCCCTACACAATTTGAACTCATGACCGCACAAGTCGGAGGTTACCGTTTCTGGACTTCGACATACACAGGACATGTACGAGAAAGATTACAGAGCGTCATGTATGTTGGCACCAACGATCTGTCTATATATTTCAGTGAGAAGACATTGCTGTGTTATCTAAGTAACTATTGGCCTGATAAAATTTCCTCAAAGGCTTCCTGAACCACAGCAGCATCATATCGCGGTATTCCGGAATTGGGCGTGCATTCGGATCTTTTGCCGACCAAAATACACTTGATACCAAGTGCCTGTAGGAACAGGAAATGATGAGTCTGATGGTGGCCAGGGGTGGAAACATGAGGCAGGCTCACGGTTATGGCTTCGACATCTACTGCTACCTTTGTCCCCTCAAGATATACCAGATGTGTGATGAACGCTGAGATCGGATACAGTGGAACGTTTCCTAGCCCGTTTGGCGGGTATTGCGAATTCAACACCGAGGTGATAGCTCTGCGCTGTTTGAGATCAAGATCCCAGGGCAAAATAAGGAATCACCTAATATAGTCAACGGCGGTGTATCCATCTGTTTCTCTATCATTACTGCCGTTCACTGTTGGAGATGAATGTACTGAGTCTAGGTCACCGGACAGTGCCGCAGGACCTACGAAGAAGCGCTTTGACACGTAGGAGCCGAGATCCCGCGATCGCAGATGCTACACCGCGGAGAGCTAGGCAGGGAATGATGCTGAGCATTCTTCATTAGGAAGATATTTCGAGTCCCTGGATCGCGCACTCGCCTTGTCCATAAAGATCCACATGAGTACACCAACATCTCCGAAGTTGATAGGTTCTTGATAAATTGAGGGTTTGGTTTCGGGTATACTTCATGGCCATACCCATTAATATAGTAGAGTCCTGATACAAGATGGGTACCGCGAATCAGACCCTGAACAAGGCTACTCACTGTATATTCGAGAATGGAGTGGCTCATATCCGCCTTCTTTGGCTTGTTGACTGTACATAATGTTGGACCGACTCTGCGGTATGATCTCGCCTAGTCCATCCAGGGGAGATAGCGGATCCAATGACAGCAGTTCTGAGTCAGAGGAGATTGCAGGAGCCACTGGATGCGATATTTCACATTGACCCAGCAGCTTCGCGCCGTTCTCCTACAAGTCATGTCAAATGGAACAGATCCCTGATCTGAATATCAGTACAGACCAATTCCACTGCAATGGTAGTGATATGGTTTGTCACGATGACTGGCAGAATGTTCGCCTTAAAATCGTGTTTCAGGGTTGCGCTTCTCATTCATTCATCTGTTTTATGACAAACACACCTGGCTATTTGTGATTGTAGAAAATAAAAAGATTGCGGACGGTAAGGACCGGAAGAAGCCCTGCGCACCTGCCAGGAAGTAATTACCTATACTGCGGAGCGTAGGCCTGAGTCAGCACGAACAGGGACCACTTCTACAACCAACCTTCCATTCAAGAAGGAGAAGTGTTTGTGTGCTCGCTTGAGGACTTCGTTCTCAAAGTATACCAGGAAACCTAATCGAAGCCGTCAATATGCCGGAGTTGGCGTCCATTATTAGTATTACCTCGGATGACTTCCTTCCGGTCGTTCGGGATGCCCGACCACAAAGGACTTTGACCTTCGATGATGCCCCGCCATTCAGCACGTGCTTCATTCTCGGACACGTTCACGGGTAATCTGTAAGATAAAAGGATGCGCACAGCATCGAGAGGCGAACCAGGAGGAGCCGAAGGAATCAATCTGACAAGCCTTGAGCGAATGTCACCTTGATTTCTGCATGAGTACATCTCAAGCTGAGCACGACTTCGAGTGCCATTCACCGATGGACGGTCCACCAAGTACCCTGATTATCTCACTGGACGATCCACCGTCGTCCGAGACCGGAAGAACGTAACATGCGTTTTCGAATGCAGCGCATATGGAGTTCCCGCCCGAACCACCGGATATCACCAAGAAAGACGGTTTTGAGCGGGAACTTGAGTCTGACACATGGTTCTGGGAATGGTCAGGGTCACTATCAGTTACTTGTGCCATTGGATCATGTCTGTCCCATGTTTCGTGTCTTGTCCTTGCGCTATCTGGCTGCAATGGGAGGTCGAACACAGATGAATTCAAGCTGTCCATCCAGCAGTAGTAAGTGTTCAGCTTGGAGTTCAGGTTGAGAGTAGCACCGTAGCGAAGAACGGTATACCCGAGGTACACGGTGACGGTTCAAAGAACTCTGAGGCACTGGACCCGAGTAAAAGTTGATACTCCTACTTGATGAGGACGTTCAAGTTGGACTACTCATAATTAATTTCATTACACGTGGTACTATAACTACATGATGTCACTTCCGAGTCGTTCACGTAACTACTGCTTCACTGGAACTGTCGTTATAACGTCTACAAGGAATAACTAGTCAAATTTAAAAATGACCTTGGACTACAGAACAGCCAGTCGTGGCATGGCCCATTACTGCGGTGGTACCCACGCCCTCTGCTTTATTGTTTCACGTTAACATTATTCCGCGTTAAACGATATGGTTCGTAACTTTACAGCCTTGCCAGGTTTTTACCGGACTCTCTTCTTGTACATCGAACCAGGTAAGTATTCCTCCCACTGGTCCTCACACTCAAACGACAGAATCACTGACATGCTGCAGTGTCGACCGTGTCACCTGCCATCTTGGCGTGGTTCTTTCCAGGCGCATCCTGGTTCCACCATGAGCTGATACCAACTGCAGCTGCAGCTTCCGGACCCCTAGATGCTAGGACTACAATGGCTATTTGGCAGCTGGGAAACTGTGCGTTCTCCACGTCTACTTTGTCCATTTTACCCAACTAAAAGGTCTTTAGGCTATCTTCTCCTGGGTTTGATTTCGTCTTTGGTCTTCAGAGCTATCCGAGATGCTCTTCCAACTAATCCGGAGGCTCAAGAGCGTATACTTGGAGCAAGTTTCACTGCGCTCGCACTGGCAGACGTGAGTTCTTTCCGTTTCTCATACTTATTCACCTGTCTCACGAGCTGCATTGTAGGTAACACAGTAAGTCTTAGTGCTCTGCAAGTGTTTGCCCTACGCAACATGTTTCAGTATTGCTGCTTCATTTATTGGCCTTCCCGACGAGCTCAAGTATTCCTATGGCAAGTGGAATCCCATGACCCATGGCAACATCACCTTTGTGATATTCCTCTTGAGCGTAAGGTATGTCAAGAACAAATGCATCACCAGCCTGTTCTCATAAACAACTTTATAAGACTTGCCTGGTTCGCGGGAGTCGGTCGTACTACATATTACTACGGGAAACGGGCCAAGGTGGATTGAGGACCTGAATTACTTTCTATGGATTAGCACACTAGGCGGTTCCACGTCCGACATAAATTGTATGTGGGATCTATAAATCCAACTCTACTGTACAACTTAAAGGTACGAACGTAAATATGAAAACGTTCAAGAACGACGAGTATAAATCTTAATGTCCAAGTCCCAAAACATATTTGTGTGGAATCAAAAACCCAGTATCCAAATCGATCGGGATGAGAAGGGTCCAATCCCAGTCGTAATGCATCACTCCTATGCGTGGGGAGCCTATCGGTGTTACTAAAAAATCGAAATGGAGAGCAACAGCGCAATGGCCTCAGATCTACAAGGTTCCAATGGGCGGTCGGCAAGGAAACACCCCTGTCGCAACGAGGAACCTAACAAGCACAGGAGCAGGTTTGTGACATTCCAACGGGCATCGGGCACTGATATTCCCGTTGCGAGGAAGAATTCAAAGATGCTCCATAAGCTGCAGCCTTGTTTTCGGCTAGCTGCACATCGCAAATAGGTGCCTATCCATGAATCAGAAATCGCAGGGAGATGATAGGCTAAGTCGAGATACGGACTTGCGTCCCGTGTTAGAAATGATGAAAGTATGCTGTCTGCTGATAGAGCAATTAGGGATGAGTGTTGCTTCCGAAAGTTGGGTAACATTAAGTAACCGCAGACATTTCCCTCGTCAGCCAAAGAATGTACAGGAATTGAATGTCAAGCGTGGGGGATAGTAACGAAGGCGTGGCTCGGACTGACAGCTACTGACAGTCGCACTGTAGACTACTATAGATGTAGCAGCCAAAGGTATAGTGACATTGGCGAAAAAAAACCTGCGTTCATTTCAGGTTCGTCATCTGTCGCCATCGCGGGTCTAAATCCGATGAACTGTGATGGCTGCGTCCTTTTGAGTCCACGTCTCTCTTGACAGTGTATGTAGCGACGCTGAGAGGTATGTTCCTGTTCCTATTTCTCGAAGATGTACCCGGATGCCCGTTTGAGCCTGGCGACCGCTTGAGAACATGCCGAGAAAGTCGAGTCGCAACTCAAGGCAGAGGGCACTTACACAGGGACGAAGCCAGGCACACCTATTGATAGCAGCGAGGTTTGTTTACTGTCACTCGGCACAACACCTGGATTGACAAATTTCCAATATTCGCGTCTTGACAGTGTGATGGCGCGGGGATATTGACGTGGTTCCCTGCGTTGACGTCGTGTGAACTTAATCTTCTTGGATGGGGAAGGATTCCAATTTCCAACCCTAGACACTAACCTTCCTACGCCAAAATGGGAACGACCTCGTTTGGTACGAACTTTCCGTGAAGCAGGCGGTAACCATACTCGGCGTGAATGATGGGGCAAACCTGTGACTTCATCCATGCGTCCTGGCGGTAGACATCTCAGACTGAGTCGCGGTGGGGAATTTCCGTATTCCTACCCATGGTAAGTGTGAATACCAAGCGTGGATAGTTACCACGCTTTTCCTATCCACTCTACATCTTCTAGCTAGTGGAAGGGCTTCACCAGCTCCAGTTGTTCCCAGACGTCGTTGCAAAGAGCCTAGGAAACAATCGACGAGTGGTCCGAAGGAGCCTCCCGATGGACGAGCTTCCACATGCAGTTCAAATGCGATCATAGATGGTGTTGGCTGTGTAGCGAACTTTTTGCCCGTCCCTCTTCCTTCGTCTGGTCGATTGTTGCGAGGATCCTGCAGGCGACAAACTCTTTCCAATAGGACATCATGTGAGCAAGCGCGAGGGGCTTTCTGGTATACAATGAGGGGGCTGCTTCAAGTGCAACCATGTTGTTTGCCACGGGCCACGGCCATGTATCACGGGCTACTTGTGATCGAAATCGATAGCAAAGTCGCACACCGCAATTCTCTGTGAAAATGACAAGTGTCGAGGCAACGGACAGGGACCAAGTATTGGAGGAGGCTGAAAGGATACATAACGACAAAGCCCAAGTACAAGTTTTATTTAGTTGTCCTCGACTGTCGAATTTCACATGACCGTCACGCGGCGCGTTGTGTCACGTGTTACTGACTGTGACGACTGCGTGACAACCATAGAGATTTTGTTCGTAGATGCGAACGAAGGAAGGTCTTCCTCCTGTCTTGTCCAGGATCCGTGGGGCACACAGTGACATGGATATCACACCTCTCAGTGCACTAAATGCCCAATATGAAACTGGCCCATCTGTCGGAAAGCCGCTGCAACTTCAAGTAAAAATTATGCCGTGCTGAGTTTGATGGGATGGAACGAAAGTTATGAGAATTTCCAAGCTGGAAAGGCCTGTAGTGAGCGCAAACCTGACCTTCGTGAACACCCCGACAGAAATGGAGAATAAGTAATGGGCGTCAGTCGACTCAGTGCACTGCTAGTGACGAGCGTCTGCGTCCTGTCCGAGTTTTAAGTTTTTGGCAGTCAGGCGTGGGACACAAAATAACCAGCTCTTTTCATTTGCTTTCATAGACATATAGATCTAGACAGGACTATGTCCGAGGATATAATACTCCAGGAAGAGCCTACAAGGTCCAAGAAGGACAAAAAGCAGAAAAAGGCCAAGAAATCTGCTGACCCTGCCAGCGACGAGCCCAAAGGTCTGCATAATTCATTACAACCTGCACCTCTCCTGACCAGTCAAGACAAGCCAGCTGAAAAGAAGGACAAAAAAGACAAGAAGAAGAAACACAAGGAAACTTATGATCCAGAGGTTGTTACTGCTGTTTCCGAGGATGCTAAGATGGATGTAGATTCTCCACAAGGTATGTGTCCTTGACGCATCATGTCATGCTCTGTACAATTAACCATTTGCCACAGGATGGGTCAAGGACAGGAAGAAGTCAATCAAGTCTGCTTCTAACGTCGAGGAATCTGCGATCGAGATTGCTGTTGATGTGCCATCTGGTTAGCATACTTTTTTCATCCGCTCGAGTTTATGAAGTAATACCGCCCAGAGTCCAAGGACAAGAAAAAAAAACACAAAGATATCGAAGCCTCAGGTGATGCAGATTCGATTCCTGGTAAGATCAATCAGAATCAATGTGCATTCGGTCATTCCTTACATACCTAACACTAGATGGTGAAAGAACTTCGAAAAAGCACAAAAAGCGCAAGCGTGATGGCGCGCAAGAAGAAGACCCAGCGGACAAACCTAGCCCCTCCAAGAAGCCTAAAAAGAAAAAACATGATCGCGAAGCCGAAACCCCCTCTACTGACGCTACAGTAACTTCCCAACAACCGTTGTTAGCTACCCCATCCTTACAGCCCTCAACAAAACCGTGTTCTCCTGCTGAATCAGAAGCCTTTCTTGCAAGATACAACATCACCATCAGTACTCAAACGAACAGCGATGCCGTCGTACCTGTAATATCGTTCGACCAGCTCAATATACCGGATGGTCTACGGGGCGCATTTACTGGTTTCAATGAGCCTACTCCAATACAGGCATGTACATGGCCGCCTGCGCTCAAAGGGAAGGACGTAGTGGGTATTGCAGAGACGGGAAGGTAGAATTTACAGTTTTGCATGCCATTACACCCTAACGCTCATGTCTGGATGCAGCGGGAAGACTCTGGCATTTGGAATACCTGCCCTCGCACAGCTCATAGCATCGCCCAAAAAGCCTAAGAAGAAAGAGAGCACAATATCTGTACTTGTTGTCGCCCCGACACGTGAGCTTGCGATCCAGACTCATGATGCACTCTCTGCGCTGGGTGCACCATTTGGCATTGCTAGTGTCGCGGTGTTTGGTGGTGTCCCGAAGGACCCACAGGTCAAAGCACTGGCGAATGGAAATACGGATGGGAAGATCACCAGAATTGTTGTAGGAACGCCCGGACGCATAATTGATTTGGTTAACGATGGTGCCTGTGACCTGAGCAGGTGAGCTTGCTATCAATCAACGGGATGTCGACATCTCAAGCATTGCTTTGGAATTGTGCAGAGTGAATTATCTCGTGCTAGATGAGGCTGATCGAATGTTGGATAAGGGATTTGAAAATGATATCACGAAAATTATTTCATATACTATTCAAGGGGAGGGGCGCCAGACTATGATGTGTGAGCACTGTCCTATTTCGCGTTTCCGATTATTATTAATTTCAATCTTAGTTAGTGCAACGTGGCCTGAAGCTGTCCGTCGACTGGCCAGTTCTTTCCAGCACAATCCTGTTCGAGTCACAGTCGGAAGCGATGATCTCACAGCAAACAGTCGTGTTGAGCAAGTTGTTGAAGTATTTGATGACCCCCGTGAAAAAGAGTCCGTATCTCTCGGTCTTTCCATTAGCTTTGTTCTCACTGTTCGGTAGCAATCGGCTCCTCAAACGCCTCAAAGATCTGTCACATAAGAAAACGTCACGCAAGGGCTCTGATGAGGCGCGCATCCTGATTTTTGCGCTCTACAAGAAAGAGGCAACGCGTATCGAGCAATCGCTGAGGCGCGCAGGTTACGACGTCGGTGCATTGCACGGAGACATGTCACAAACTGCACGCATGGACGCACTTGAAAGATTCAAGACTGGGGAGACAGGTTTACTGGTGGCCACGGATGTTGCTGCACGGGGACTAGACATTCCCAATGTTGGAGCCGTGATAAATTACACCTTTCCGCTGACACTTGAAGACTACATCCACCGAATCGGACGTACGGGTGTGTATCAATCTAATTGTTTCTGGTGTAGAGCCTAACGGCCCAATCCATTCAGGTCGCGGTGGACGCTCCGGTAAATCTATTACCTTCTTTACCGGAGAAAACCACGAGCGAGCATTGGCCGGCGAGCTTGCACGCGTGCTCCGCGAAGGTGGGTTCGATGCGCAGGCAGACAATCTGAAACAGTTCCCAATGACCATCAAGAAGAAGGGGCACGCGGCTTATGGGGCTTTCTTCCGAGATGATATCACTGCTGCGCCCACGAAGATAGTATTTTAGTGGTGCTAGGAAGGGCGACTGGGTGCTTCTCATGGGAATGTCCATCTAGTTTTTATATAATGCATGGCAACTGTGCACGTAGCAGTGCTTCAGGCTATGTGCCACTTACTTATGATTGTGGCGGTCCTTTGGCAAATCTGATAAGCAGTGAGCGGCAATTTTGCTAGGACTTACCCTACGCCACTAGTGTTAACTTCGGAATTGTGACGCGTGTTTCATCATCATCGTTTTTGCGGCCAGGCCATCATTTCCGAGCCAGCCATATCAATCAAACGCAACAAATCAGGGACACAGCAAGGCCCGCAGGCCTCACTTGTAAAATCATTCTCAGCCAGCGTCTAATCTTTCGTGTCAATCGACCATGATGGGCCTTTTCAGCCAGGCTGGATCCCATATCAAGAGGGCACGCGGTCTCTCCGTGGATGATAGGGCGCCAGAAGACACAGAACCCGACGATACTTCAATCCTGTCTGTCATCCTTCCTTTACTACTCATTCTTACATAGATTCATGATCGTCCTCGATACTGATTCTGCTTACAGCGACGAGAATGAAGGATCTGTCATCCTTTCGCTGATATCCCAGCTCAGGTGCGTGCTGTGTACTACGTGTCAAAGCTTCGGCTCTGACACCTAGACAAGAGTTGGGATGGACCTGTCCAAAGTAACCTTTCCTACGTTTGTGCTTGAGCCCCGAAGCATGCTTGAGCGCATCACGGACTTCATGTCGCACCCGGATCTCATATTCGGGCGAGTACGCTGTTACCTCTCCCGATCTCAGGTATAACCCCTTGCCCAGTGCTGAGAATTGCGACGATCCAGAAGAGCGATTTACTCGCATCCTTCAGTATTACCTCGCTGGATGGCATATCAAGCCCAAGGGCGTAAAGAAACCGTAAGTCTCCGCCCATCTCGCATCATCAGCCCTTGGTTAGCGAGCGCAGATACAACCCCGTTCTTGGAGAATTCTTTCGTTGTAGGTACGACTACCCGAATGGTACACAAGGTTTCTTTGTCGCTGAGCAAGGTATGTCGCTTGTGCAGCCGACGAATGCATACTGGCGCTCACCACTCCACTCTCCAGTGTCACACCACCCACCAATCTCCGCATTCTTCTACATTTCCCCTGCGAATCGCGTCTGCATCGTCGGGGAGCTCAGACCAAAGTCTAAATTCCTTGGCAACAGCGTCTCTACCACCATGGAGGGTGAGAATAGAATCATGCTTATGGGCGTCCCAGACGATGGCGGTGTGTAGTTCGTGCGCATGCACAGATATGCCGTTACTGACTGTGCATGGCAGAGTACGTAGTAACGATGCCTAATATGTATGCAAGGGGGATTCTATTCGGCAAAATGGTACTGGAGCTAGGTGACACGTGTGTAGTGAAGAACGAGAAGAATAGACTATTCTGCGATTTGGAGTTCAAGACAAAGGTCACTTTGCGGTTCCCTGGATGACTGTGATCTGACTCTGTCTCAGGGCTTCTTCTCTGGAACATATAACGCAATAGCTGGACGTGTACGTCGGGGAAACTCAGACACAGGCGAGGTGTCAGGGCGGTGGAGTCACGTCATGGAATTCAAGAGCATCAAGGTTAGCTAAAGAATTGTCTTCTCAGTAGCAGTTTCCTGATCTAATTACAGAGTGGAAGCAAACGCGTGCTATTTGATGCCGCGAAAGACGGACAAAATATAGCACCGAAATATGTACCGGACGTAGAACAACAAGAACCATACGAATCACGCCGGTGAATGTGTTTTAATCGACTAGTTGAATACGCGGCTGATGATGGCATCCGGATGCGCAGCCTATGGAAAGACCTTACGCAGGCTATCGAGGAGAGGAATATGGAACGTGCCACGGAGGCCAAGAGCGCAGTGGAAGATGCCCAACGCGAACTGCGCCGCAGACGAGAGGAGAGTGGCGAGAAATTTGTTCCTCGCTACTTCGAGAAACACGACGGACGGTGGGAGCCTAAGCTCAAGTAATCCATCTTACACGTCTCTGCATGATTTCTACTGATACCTCTCTTAGGATCCCTCGAGGTGATTCTTCTGAAGCTATAGACGCAGTGCAAACCTGGATATGGCCGCCCACGACAGAATGGCGTTGACCTGACATGTACTTTTTCATTTTGACGTTTATCTGCTTTTGCTTTGTTTGTGTCTACACCTACCATCACATTTACATCTTATCCCACGCAGTTGTAACATAATGCGCATCCGTTGGATTGTACCTGTAGCAAAAATTGAAGGGTATATATACGACAATGGATCCAATGACAACACCAGATGTGAAAAAAAATGAATGGATATATAGAAAAGGAAATGCGGCAAAACTAGGGCTAAAAAGCAAGACCATCGATTAGATCAGGATATCATGAGGTCGAAATGAGCAAATGCGGATGGTATCGAACGAGTTACGAGTACCAGCCATCGTCGTCCGGTATGATTGAAACTGTACTTGGCGTCGGGGATGCGACTGACCGCGAGGAGCATTGAGAAGTGAACGAGACCACAGATTGAGGTCGAAATGATCCGATAGGTCGCCTGGGCTGAGGAGTGGCAGGTACTGCGGAACCAAGCTGGGGAAATCTACGTGGTGCATGCATTGAGTCCCGAACGGATGGAGATGATTTGGGAGGGGTATCGTTACGAGGTAGGCTAGAGTCATTCATCTGCGCAACTGGTGTACTTGATCTGTCCCCAGAACAGACGGTACTTGAACGCGAATCAGGACGAGGAGGAGACTCTGTATGCCCAATTTTGATATACGAGGACACCATAGATGGGGCTGGGGTCGCCTTGGCCTTTGAAAGGTCAGTTTCAAGCCGAGCAACTTGAGCTTCAAAGTTTGCAACCTGATCGCGTAACTTTTGTTCTCGGTCCTGCAGATCAGACATCATTTAGAATGTAGTACGTGGGACTGCTGTGATTCCCACCTTAACCAAGCGGTCCTCTGCTTCCTTTTCTTCCAGTTGAAGCTTTACAAAGGAATAATCCGCATCAAGTTGAGCATAAGCTTGCTCTACCTCGTCGAGCTTAGCACGTGTCTTCTCCAAGTCACCCTCATACTCTCTCGCGCGATTCTCCCACTCAGATGAACGCTGTTGGGCTTGGGTCAAGTTCTGCCTGGCGGCGATTGCGGTGCGTTCAGCGTTGGAAACTTTATGTTCCTGTTCCCTGAAGCGCTTTTGAAGTGCTGCGTGCTCGCTTTCCAGGATGCGACTCGTGCGTCGGAGTTCCTTAAGTTCTTCATTGCCAGCCTGGTCCATAAGGGTAGTGAGCATGCCAATTTTCTCAGCCACGCGATGGAGGTCGTCCCAATGACTCTGTTGTGAAAGCAGATGCTCGTGCTCTTTCTGGAGGAGTTCAAAAGTATGCACAGCCAAGGCCTTCTCATGTGTCACAAGTTTCACTGACGCGTCCAATTCCGCAACCTGATGTGCCATCAGAGAACAAACGATGTCAACAAAGAGACCAATGTACCTTGGAATTGAGGTTGGCTTGCTCAGCCAATGCCTCCTTGTTCGCCTTCTCCAATTCGCTGATGCGTTCTTGATTGGTATGTGTTGCAACATCTGAAGCTTTAAGGCGTGCAAGGCTTTGGGAAAGCGCTCCCTCTAGTTCAGAATTCCGCGACCCGACGGCAGCAATATCTGTGCTCTGGGTTTTGATAGTACTCTGGAGTTCTTCAACCTGAGCACGGAGCCTGTCTCTCTCAGACTCAACATCCTTGAGGCGTTCAGCGAGGTTGTCTTTCTCCACCCGAACTTGGCCGTGGGCTCCACGAGCCTTTGCCACCTGTGCCTGGTATTCAGCATTCGCTGCCTTGAGTTTACGAATCTCTTCCTGATCTCTTTTCGAGGCGTCCCTAGAGACTGCGAACTCAGCATGAGCGGTTTGAAGAACGTTGACGGCTACATGTAACGCCTCAGGTAGCGCATTCATACGTTCAGAAAGATCCTCGTGGAGGGACTTGTGCATCGAGAGAAGCTCGTCATTTTGTGTCGAGGAGGGCAGATGGGTGCTAGCCAGGGAGTTGATGGCAACCTCCAACCGGTGGATGACCGATAGGACTTCTTCATTACTCTGCGACGACGCATGGGCTTGCAGCTCTTGACTGCTTAACTCCATAGCGCGCTTGATATCATCAAGTTGAGCAGGGAAGCTGGCGACAACGGCGTGGAGATCAGTGTGTTTCGAGGCAATTTCATCGCTCTTGTGGGCTATGAATTGCTGAGCCTCACCCAGCGCATCTAGCTTGGGAACCACATCATTAATCGAGTGGAGCAGGCCAGAGATTCCCTCCGTGACTTTGCCTGAAACGACTTCGACGTTGAAGGCCTTGTCACGAACAGCAAGACGAGAGTCCAGACGCTCTACCACTAGATCAGCCACTTGTTCCTTGATTTCGTGCGCGTCGATGGGGGCAATGACACGGCGAACTTCAGCAGTGATTTGGGAAATCACCTCATCAGTATCCAGCGTCACCTTGGGTAGCAGAGGTATGATACTATCCACGATCAACCCGGCGGTCTCTCGTTTGTCGGCTGCGAGGTCAATCAATTGCTCGATGTTTGGCTTGACGGCTTGACTGAGCTGAGTGGTGAGGGCGTTATAATCGACAGCTTCAGGTCGCAGGGCCTTAAAGGTGGGTGCCAGAGCAGCCATGATATCACCAATCAGGGCTAGCCGTTCAGGCTCGTCTGCGAAAGGACCAGAGTGTTTGTCGATTTGTGACGACAGCTGCCCAATGTTGTCAAGAATGGCCTGCATGGACTTCTTCAACGGTTCCAGAGCGGCAACATCTGTAGATGATCCCGTAGGTACAACTTGCTCGAGGCGATTCACGAGCTCGCGCAACTCTGTCTGCATCAATAGCAGACCCTCTGCATTACCTCGTTGCACTACATCGCGGATGACTGCAAGGTCCAGTTCACCACGGGCGTCCATCTGGCTGTCGTCGAGGCCACGAGCAGCAGACTCCTGGAGCTGGGTACGGAACAAGCCAACAACCTCCGTGATCATATCTTCTGTGGCAGGGTTGATGGACGGTCCACTCGTCGACGTTCTGTCCCGAGCGAGCTCAGCTCTGAGTGCTTGGAATTTCTCGGTCAATGATGCCTCAATCTTATCCTCTAAAGCCTGCGCCTCGAGACGCTTCGTGAGGTTGAGGGCAGGAATAGAAACATTTGAAAGCTCCGAGGTGTGAGAGTTATGGGCACTATGCAGTGCAGGCAACGAGGAGCGACGTTTGATAGCAGGCGTAAATATGTCAGGAGACTCGAACGGTTGTCGTTGAAGTCCAGGGTCAGTGACAAGCCGCGATTGCGAACGTTGCTGTAACATCGAGATGGCGGGAGCCGCAAGATCGTCGAGGGACGGCCGTTGCGAATGCTCGAATATCTCGCGGGAACTCAGCCGAGAGCGCACAGTACGGCGAGTTTTCTCATCACCCACCAGAGCTTTGAAGACACCAGCAGGCAATGTGTTGCTGGGGGTAGGATTCTTGAAATCTAACGGGATAGGCGCGCGTTTCGGCCTGGTAGGTGCAATCGATGGGAACGTGCTGGGGATGCCAAGGAAGTCATCGTTCTGGGGTGATTCAAAGTTGTCGGTCGTCTGTGCGTGTCCAGGTATCTCAATCTCCTGCGCTCCATCCTCATCAGGCAAGGCAAGAGTAGAGAACCCAGAAAACGTGAGAGGTTGCAGTGGCCCAGCACTTGTGTTGAAATCTCTCGATCCCAACGTCCATGGCGATGTAGGAGCAGAACGACGGCTGCGCGGAGTCTCGCCCAATGTAGGGAATCTAAATGAAGCCATATTCTCCTTGCCACTGTCATCCTCATCCTCGTCAAATGATGAGCGGGATCCACGACGCTGCCTTTTCTCCCGTCCTTGTTGAGCACGTGCCGGCGGGACCGGCAGAGGCCGTGAAGGCTCAGGTGCGGAGAAGGCCATACGAGGCACCCCAGGTGGCGGACGAAATGTGAACCCTGTAGGCTTGAACTCTTGTGCAGCCGCGTTGAGCGGCTTTCCGAGGGACGGAATGCGTGTATGGCTAAGAGCCGGAACCTGCAGCGGTGCCGCCTCAAGGGTCCATGAACCAGACTGCCTGGCTGAACCAAACACGAAAGGCTTCGCGTGTGGGTTGAGCGCCCCAGATGAAGATAATTGTGGAATGGGGGCCGGTCCTTCATTGTGGACGTCGAGCTGCTCAGAGATATTGCGCGAGTGAGCGAGGGCGGGGTCATGGACCGAGTATTGTCCTGATTGACCACGGGAGTGGGGGAGAGGGGGGAGAGGTCGCCTTCCAGTTGTAGACGCCGATAATGGTCTGACTGGGAAATCTGTCGAATCCACACCGAGGAATGCCGTGCGCAGTTCTCCTCGGTGACCCTCCTCGCTTGGATTCGAGACAATATCGTAATCACCACGCAAAGACATGCCCAGTCCACCGCCTGGGGGAACGGGGAAGTTGGGGAGACGTCTGGGTTTCTCCGCTTCATGTTTCCTTTGGCGCAAAATACGGCGTTGCACCCGATTTTGACGAGCCCGCTCTTCGTCTGAGGGATTAGACCACTCGCCAATGCTCTCCTTCGAGTTTGTCAAGCTGGTGCGTGGATAGTGAAGAAAATGTAATACATACCTCGTCATCTGATTGTTCCTTATCTACATGCATGTCCTCCGATCCCGTCCACTCTCCAACCGCCTCTTTGTCAAGGTCATCAATCCCGGGGCTGCCAGCCGGACTTCGGATGGGCGCTAACTTAACCTCAGACATAGCGCCTTCCGTGATGCCACCAACTGACCGCAATGATAACGCAGCCGACAGTCGTGACACATGTCTCGAGTGCAACCTACTCAGCGCAACCGTCGTCGTATCTCTCCCTGAATCTTGACCATCAAGTCCTTCTGTATCAATTACAGCATTGTCGTCTGTGTCAGCGGGTACTTCTTCCTCCAGAGGCTCTTCCTCCTCCGGGATATCGAGGCCGAACCCGCGGACGAAATCAGGACGACTGCTTGCGCGAGAGATGCCGGAAGGAATAAGAGATGGAACAGAAACTGGGACGCGGCCTTGTGGAGCATGAATACCTTCGATAGGAGCAGGGAATGGCTCGGCAGAGAGGTTTGTTTCGATGCTGTCGGAGCCGAGGACTGCGTTCGGCCCAAAAGGATTGAATGCTGCGCTTGGAATGTAGAAATTTTCGTGGAGCGGAGGGTGTGCAAGGGATAGACTGTGACCATGCCTATTTTGGAATCGAGGAGGAAGTTGATGGGGAGAAGGAGACAA